GATTCGGTATATGTTGATTGTTACACCGAAATCCCATAAAAATTTATGAAATTAATGAAAAAATCCCCCAAAAAATAATGGATTGCACTGATCGTTATGGTACTCCACAGGTAACCCTAGGGTATGAGGAAGATTTATCATTATTGTGAACAAACAGATACATAATATTTAAAACAGCTAAGTGCTGTTCCTTTAATTCCTACAAAATATTCATGTCTTTCTAAAAGAATGTGATGATCAACTGCGTAAAATTTAGCACTAAGATCTAAAAGAACAAGTACAGATACAAGTCCATTATCTGAGGCCATGAGAACATCATTTGTGACTTTCATCAGAGCTGTTTCAGTGCTATGATGAGCTCTAAAGCCAGACTGTATCTCTTCAAAAAGTTAATTATGGTGTAAGTGATCGCACCCTTGTTTGGCAACTACTTTCTCAAGAATATCAGATAAGAAAGGAAGATTGGATATAGGTCTATAATTGACCAAGTCACTTGGGTCAAGAGACGGTTTCTTAAGTAAAGGTTTATTTACAGCTTTCCTTAAAAGCCTGAGGTACATGTCCTTGTATCCGGGATCTATTAATCACATCTAAAATGGAGGAGGACATCAGAGGGAATACCTCCTTAAATAACCTGGTTGGAACTGGATCTAACATACAAGTTGAAGGCTAAGATGAAGACAATAGTTTTACTAACTCTGAAAGTTCAACTGGATCAAAGCAGTCTAAACCCAGTTCAGATTCTATGGCTACTTCAGATGCTGCCTCACCTTTCAGAGACAAACCAATAATATTTAGCTGGGTGCTAATGATTATTATTTTTAATACCGTCATTCATATTTATAAAAAAATCCAATACACTCTTTACTGCTAAGAGCAGGTGGGATGGAAGGTTCAACAGAGCTATGGCTCTGGGTGAATTTGGCAACTGTATTAAAAAGATATATTGAATTATTCTTATGCTCCTCTGAAAGATTGTTGCCTCATTTATGCTCACATAATCCTCTTTCTGTAGACAAGTTTCTTTAAGGCAACACAAATCAATTTATTCACCACATATCAAGTCATTAACTAACAGACTTTTTGAAAAAAGATGTCTTATGTTAAATAACCCACATTTAACAGTTTTAACATTTTCCCCAATTTGAGTTGTGTTATTTAGATTATAATTTACTCCTTTAGCATTCTTTTCTAATTTATATGATTTTGTTGTGGGAAAGACACTGTATGGATGCAGTTATGAGTGGGTAACAGTAGAGCAGCTGCAGAAAGTTGTGTTAAACCATAACTTTGCTTCCTGGTCTGCACCCTGGGTTGTCAGGGTTTTGGATGACTAATACATTTGGCCAGATACCTAGAAAGAAGAGCTGCAACACCCAAAGTGGGATGGATGCAGTCTCTCCCAATCAGACTAGGTTTTCCCCAAAAAGATTGCCAATTATTAATGTACCTTGATATAACCTAACAGAAGATCTTCAGAACAGCTCCAAATGACACAAAACTCATATGGGTGAGTAGAACATGATGTAATAATGTAAAATCAAGGGCCCAATGCAAAAAAAAAAAAAAAAACGGCGTTCCCCTTTAACTTATCAGAAACCATTAATGACTGTTATTGAATTACATTTTTAACTTTCAGATTTTCTGTCGGGGTTTAGATATTCTTGTATTTATAAGGTTTATCTTTGGTGGTTTAAAAAAAGAAACAGTAAGAAAGCGCATGATCAGCTGCTGATAACTTGGATTTTTTATCCTGTTTCAAACAGTGTGGCAACAGATGGTCAAAGCAAGGTTTTTGTCTTCCATCTACAGGTACCAGAATCATTTATGACAGGAAGTTTCTGCTACAGTGTCGGAGCTCTCCACTGACCCGAACTCCTCCCAAACTTCCTGATATTCCTGGTGTGACAAGGCCAATCGACCCGGACTCCTCCAACAATGAAAATCCGCCCGAGGAATCACCCAGCAACAATGAAGACGACCACAACCTGCATATGGAGGAGAACTCCGGTACAATATTAGATTTATCACCTTACTTTGTGCTTTCTTTGTACTTTAGTTGAATGCAACTTTTTTCTATTCTCTTTTACAGCAGAGGACGCCCAGTTTGAAATGGACATCTAGATGCCAGCAGCAATGAGTAATGTAGGGTGCTAACAACTATGAGCTTATAAAATGATTCAAATAACAAATCTAGTCTTAGTCAGCTTTAAAGTCTGACAGAAAACAACCAGGTATTTTTTTTTTTTTTATATCAAATATTAGCTAATCTGTTGAAGCTTGAAAAAAAGAATTCACAAAAATTTATTTTCACTTTGCTTCATCACCTTGTGTAACTGATGACAAGTAATTCCTGTTATTTTTTATTTTATTTGATTTTAGTTATAAATGCTTTCAAAATGACTATATAAGAAGGTGTTAATAGCCAATCTGTTGATATGACTACTGTACTTGGCAATCTAATTTTTGGACTCTGTAATGGCTGCTTCTGGCCACTTGAGGGCAGCAGATAAAATCTACATGACTTCTCAATTTCCTGTCCATTTATTTGCTACATTTCCAGCTGATGAGACTTGCTCACTGTACTGTTACATGAATTTTAAAATGTGGTTTTGTTACTATAGAACTGTTTTATGCCTTTATTCTCAGTCATCGCTCGTTTGCTTTTTAATCTCAATGAATATTTTCTAATCATTTGCCTGCAAGATGGTAAATACTTTGTCTCTCAATTAACAAACCATTTAGTTTAAGCTTGGAGCCTTTTTATTATTGTGAAGTTCATTAAAAGTGTTTGTATATTCATTAACCAAAACTACAAAGTTGTTCATCTGTTTTTTTTTTGTTTTTTTTGTTTTTTCCGTTCAAAGATAAAAAGAAACTTAATATTTTTATTCAATAGAAAAACAAAAACCCATATTTAATATACAAACCTACTAAATAAAATATTATAGTATTTCTCATTTCTCATTTAATTTGTACAGTTTAGATATAAACGTGTAGAAAAGTTGAAAATACTGGGGGTTTTTTTGCAACTAAGAAAAAAAATCATACAGCTTTGATCTTACATTCATTTTTTTATGCCTGTCAAAAGCTTGAAATTTGTTTCTTTTTCATGGTAGACAAATTTCATAAATTTTCTGTAATCTGCCTGAAAAAATTGACATTTCTTAAATATGGATGTAAATAACTATTTAACAGCATCTGTTTTTCTAACATATTTTAATATATGGATAATTAACATGAAACCAAGGAATCCAGTAATATAAATAACTAATATATAATGAATTATATGTTTGTTTGTAAAGGTTTCTGTAAAGATTTGTTACTGGAAAAAGGAAGGACAAAAACACATTTATCTGAATTTAAAACGGCTAAAATCTTATGAGGTGCACGTTTTCTATAATATTATTCCTGTTTAAATTCTGACATTTAGGTGGGTGTGGTCCTGGCTTTTTATAGTGGAAGTGAAAACAATATTTTGTGTCTGGGTTAAAAAGAGATCTTTAAAAAAACAACATAAAATTAGCCATTGTATCCATAAAAAGGATATATAAATATTCTGACTGTTAATATAAGTTATAACCAAATATCAGAGGGTGCTTGACAAACGTATATGCGAATCCAAAGCAAATAATGCAAAAGTAAAACAATCCTGTGAAGCAATCCTTAACCCAAAGATTAGCAATATGTCTAGCCTGACTAACTTATGGGGCCTAAGGCTGGCCAGGCTACAGTGGTTCAGCCATTGCCTGGCTGAGAAATAAGAAATGAGAAGTTCTGAGCTAAGTTTAGTCCAATCTATTCATTATAATTAATCATGTTGCCTTTGCTAATATGTTTGTTCTGCACCTGTAAGCCAACCAGTTTAATGAACACTGCTATCTCTATCTTTAAACCATCTTATGAAAGACAACAAATTACAATTTTCAAATTTGACAATTTATTGTACTTTCATATACAGAAAATAATCAGATGGGTCAGTATGACCCAACATTTTTTAACATTTAGACTATTATAGCATTTTCCTTTTCGTTGGAAAAAAATCAAGTCCTTGGACTTAGAAGAAAAGTTTATGCACAAAGTTGCAAACAATGTGTGCAAGAATCTAGTAGTGCTTCTGTTAAAGGAGTCCGAATCAAGTCCAGCTGATAAATTCCTGTTGATTTCATTTTAATTCAACATTAACAGATTTCCTGCAGCTGCTCCTGTTTGAGATTCGACGTAAAGTGCCTGTTGATTTTTATCCGTGTTTTCTTCTCAGTGGCAGCCGCACTCCTTTACGACCATATCCTCGTGATGCCTCATCAACATCCTCCCATTCTCATAGTACAGCATGGAAAGCGGTGCCAGGCGAGTGGGCACACAGGAAAGGCTTGGCACTTTTTCTGGGTGTTGAAACTTTAACAGGCTCTGAAATTAAATGAAAAAATATCAAAAGTTAGATCACATCTCCTCAAATCAAGATATTTATCATTCCTGCAGCATTTTAGCCTTACCTGCATGTAAGCATGATTAGTTGAGGCGAAGTTCTCATCTACAGGGATAGGACATGTCCCTTCGCAGCGGTAAGCGTTATACCGTTTGGGATAGACGATCCAGTCACTCCAGTTGAGCTTCTCAAAGTCTACCCACATGTCCACCTTCCTGCAGAGATGACCTAGCTCCTCCTCCCCTGCAGTGTCTCTCCGTTTCCGCTCAGTTTGTTCGTGTCCCTTTTCTCTAAGGCTGCTCACCCTGGAGGTGGGCACAGGTCGCTCCCTGTCCAGGCTGACATACTTTGAATGCTCCACTGTGCGGATTAGCGTTGGCATTCGCTGGCTATGTTGGCTCTGCCTGGAGAAGACCACCATTATCACCCTGTCAGCTGTTGGATGTTGGATTCTCTGCTGCTTGCACTCCTCCTTGCCCTCAGCTAGACCTCCCTCCATGGTTTGCATAGCAGGTCCCCGGTGAAGCCAGCGGCGGAGCATTTTGGTCATGTTAAACACTTTCCAAGAGGAAGGTGAGACCGCTGAGCCTGGATGAGCCCTCAGGCGGCCCAGAAGCAGCCTGCTCTCAAAACAGTCCATGCTGGAGCATTGTTCCCTGTTGGAGTGATAGATGTCTATAAAAGCAGGGGAGGACAAGGCAGCGAAGGCAGGTAATCGGATGCGGAGCTCAGCCAGCTGGATGTCATCGCTTGGAGACATGGACGAGAAGTCGAAGGTGACGGACCACCTCTCACAAATCTGCTGGTAGCCTGGGAATAAAGATGAGGAACATTTAACAAAGATACAAAAGAAGGATACATTTTTTTCATTGCAATTGGGTCTTTTGAGTCATTCAAAATAATTTATTTTCTTTTTTTTTCATTACTAAAACTTAAGAAAAAGACAAACTTTCTATATATGTTTAAAAAAAGATATGTAGATGTAATTTAGGTTGAAATCCATGAAAATTTCAAAATCAATTTTTAATTGTCTTTAAATTCTGTAGTGTATCTTAATTATAGGTTAACAGAAGAGGGTGGCATTTACTCTACAGGATGCTGATTGCTTTTATGTTTAACGTTAAAAAAAAAGGCCAGAAAGTTCTTAGTCAAAGACTTTAATTTTACTTTTTTAATACATTTAGAGTGCCCCTAATTCAAAGTTTGTTTTGCAAATTATTTGGTTATAATTATGAAAAAGAAAACTCACTCTTTGCGATTAGGCTGATCACGGAGTCTGCGTCTTTGAGGACGGGGAGCTCATCCCTCCAGATGCGGCTTCTGGCTGCAGAGAAACCGGCCCGATCACCGCTGCGCATGGTCCGATAGAGCTGCATCATGTAGAGCGGCAACTTGTTTCCTTGCTGTCGCTGCATGGAGCGCCTGTAGCCGCCGGATGGAGCCTTCACCCCACGGAGCAGCGCGTCAGGAGGCGTCCCACCGAAGGGCTGCGCAGAAATGCTCCAAACCAAATCCACCAGGAGAAAAAACACCAACTCCACAGCGATACCCTTCATAATTCCCAAACTGAGATGCAGTCACCTCCACGATCAGATCTGGATCTGGTCCTGAGGAGAACCTGGAGCTCAGTTTTATAATCCCACCCTCTCATCCTGAAGTCCTTTGAAGAGATGCGTAAAGACGCGGATGGCTCTGATCCAAAGGCCGTAATGAGACGGTCGTTATGCATCGAAACCTAAAAGCTCTTTGTAGTGGCACAAGCATGAAAACTGTAAAAAAGCTCTAATTGCTGCTGTTCTGTTACAGATCCTAGAAGCTCTAACAAACAAATAAAAATAAAAGATACCATTTAAGGAGCTTAAAGATCTGTTCAGTGATCAATGAGATTATGAGTTAATCATGTGGAGAAATACTCTGTGTAGTTCAAGTCTTCACATGTTGGGATAGAGGTTGGAAAACAAGCGAGGGAGAAAGAAGGTAGGTAATAACATAGTTAGAAATGTTATATTAGTTTGCAGATTTCTTTTTTTGAAGAATTCATTGTGAAATATTTACTTCCACCCAATAAAATCATTGGTACTAGTTTTAAAACGATTGCGTCAAATATTATTAAAAACACACAAGAATAAGACAGAGCAATTAGGAAACTAAAATAACACCAACAAAAACATTTTAATAGTTAAATAGTTGCATTTAAATAAGATTTTATATTTTGAAAACCAGGTGTGAATCTAAAACATGACATAAAAGGTTAGAAAATAATTATTATGATGGGTATAAAGACTATGAATTTGATATAGTGATGATTCTTTATAAGGGTTGTTAAAATAAAAAAAGGGCAGTTTTACTTTAAAATGGTGTTTTAAGTGTTTTTTTCCATCATATTTTGGTCTAAAAACCCATATAATCTTATAAGTTTAAGCTTTTTCTTTTCATTTTTAAAGTGAATGCCATCATATATTTAAGAAAACACGCGTGTTTTCCTTTGAGAAAGAGATGTTTCATCCAACCGTTCATCACATGCTTTTATCAAACACCAGTCTTAATTGTCACTAATTTATGGAACAAAGTGCTCACTCAGCATCTAAGGGGATGAAAAGGCTGCATTAAGCTTTGATTCCTTTCATTCCTGAAGTCAAGAAAATTGTGTTTGCATTAAAGAAGGACGTTCCTTTGAAAATGATTTATAAAACTGTGATATGAAACCAGTGCATTTGTTTTTATTACGGACAAAACAAATAATGTTAATTCAAAAAACAAATCTAACGAAATAAAAAAAAAAGCATAAAAACGCAGTATCATAGCGCTCACTTCTAGCCGTTTTATTATATTTAAAAATAATCCATAGCCTATTATAGTTAATATTTAATAAAAACGTAAATTATTGTCACCAAATATTAAAGATGTTAAACTGCATCTTAATAAATACACAACTTACAGCTACAAAGTGATGTATATAAAAGATATTACCTGACATTAACAGTAATTATGTGAACTTTAATATTTTTCTTATAATTGTGATCTAAAATAAAAAATATATATTTTAACCTTTTAAAGCCTGAACCATGAAATAATTGACAGAATATTCTAATTTTCCAAAATTAGAATTGTCATTGAACTTTCTGACAAATGAAATAGAAATATTCATTTTGTAACCTTTAATTTCATCATTTATTTGGATGAGTTTTGATACATTCAGCATATAATCTTTTCAATGTTTTCTCTACACTACACGTGTCTGATTATGTAAGTCAGGGTTACAAGAACAAAAACATCACACTGATATGCAGAGGTTTCAAAAACTCAGGTATCAAATATGATACACTTGCCTTTAAGGGGTTAATTTCCTACGTCTAAGATCTGCACTAAAGATATGTAAAACGTAAAATAATAAATAAGAAGAAAAAATATAAGGGGGGAGGGGGTGATGTTCAGGTCATTTGTTATACGGAATTAGGACAGTATTGTTCAAAAGGCTTTTTTTCCCCTCACAAATAAAAAAAAGTCTCTTTTGAAATATAATCACTTTAGACACGATGTTTTTCAACACACTGTATGTGTAGCGCTGATCATTTAGATTGTAATAAAAATAATAAACACATCACATTGAGTAAAGTCCTACTGTCATCAAGACCAATCAATGGCGTAACTATCTGTACGCAGATAGTTACGCCATTGGGCCCCACTAAGAGGGCCCCGACCTCTTAGTGGCCCCGTCACTGACACCTAGAGGCCCCCTTCGCAATTGAGAATCATAGGACGTCTCTTTGCAGATGAAATGGTGAGAAAAATTCTTCTTCACCCCATCTTTCAACATATGAATTGACCAGACCGTATTTATACCCCAACAAATAGCAGATTTCAACAGGATGGTGACCTGTTTAAACATGTCACCAATAGCAATGCAGACAGTTTTACTTTTAATTACTATGTTAATAACTGTGTATAGGTCATTAGACGGTTGGTATTTGTGGTAACCCAGAGCGTAGATTGGGGTGTTCTACACTTCATATGGTGCCCAGATAATGTTGCTAACGGGCCGATTGCTGTGTCCTTACGCCATTGATCGAGACTGCACTTTGTTTCCTACAATGCTGGTTATAGGATCATCTTTTTATTTATCTTTATTCCATCTTTTTTTTCCTTTTTTTTTTAAACGTCTCCGAGTTTTGAGTAGCCAGAAGTCGCTTATAGTGCTTCCTTTTCATCAATCAATTTGATGTAGAGTGTTTTTACTCTATTTTCTCTTTTACTCTTTATTCGCTTAAAGTTGCACAGGAGGATTTTTTTTTAATATGAAAATGCTTAATTAGATACCTAATTAGATAACGGTCCCTTTCTCTTAGAAATAATTTTGGTGGATAGTAAAAACAACCTTGAAAAAGATATTTAGAAGATAAATGTACATATTAAGCAGCGAATGAAGCTGCTGTTAATGTAGAAATATATAAAGCACATATATTTTTCTATATTCATTCATATTTATTTATTTATTGTTTTGTTTTGTCATCTGGAAGACCTTAAGGCACTGTAGTATCACTTTGGAAAGTAACTGACCGGAGGCCATGGAGCCCAATCAGTGGCGCACCTGCAGCAGCAGGTGATGATGATAATGATTAAAAGCTTCCTCTCAGCTCGTCCTGTTTGTTTGAATCAGTCGCGGGCCGACATGGACCTGCCTCTTGTCATTTGGTTGATATTTCTCTCAAATCTTGGATTTTGCTCTGGTAAGTCTAATTTTCGACCAAAACTTACATTATTCTGCCTTCAAACGCTCTCATCGCAAGTATAAGTTCATTGTGTAAAACCTCGGTCAGTCTATTTTATGTCGCCTACAAAATAACGGCAAATTGAGTTCAAAAGTCAAACCCAAGCATATACGTTTTGTACAATTTACACAGGAAAAAAATAATGCAACTTTTTCTGCATTTATTTAATCATATTAATTTACTTTAACACATTTTTTTTTTTCATTTTAGCAGGATAGGACATAAAACAGTTGTTTTAAAGTAACTAAATATGATTAAGTAAATATGTTATTTTAAGTACTTTCCCTGCTTAATACCAATTTAACAAATTTTATGGTTTTACTTTTTGGCTATATTAAAACCTAGGGGTTAATTCCAGCTCACTGAAGTATATAACTGAATACTACAGCTACTTTATGATCCAAATACTATGACATGAATTCCTGTAGGCTATAATTGCAATGTGGCATGAGGTACTCAAGTGTGTGTGTGTGTGTGTGTGTGTGTGTGTGTGTGTGTGTGTGTGTACCCGTCTAGCCCTCAGAGTGAGGACCATTTTTCCAATTACACCATCAAATTAGGTTTAGGGCTTAGGTGTCAGTTGGTTAGGGTGAGATATGCATTGGTAATGGTTGGGTTTAGGGTTAGTTTTAGGCTTGGGGCATAGAAAGGTTTGAAAATGAAAATCAGTGGAAATCAATGAAGTCAATGGGAGTCAATATATGGTCCTCACTATGATGGCAGAACGAGTAGGGGGTGTATGAGTGTGTTTGTGTGTATATACAGTACAGACCATCAAGAGTGTGCATAGCAGTAAAGCAAAAGGTGGCTACTTTGAAGAACCTAGAACATAAGACATATTTTCAATTGTTTCACACTTTTTTATTAAGTAGGCTATATAATTTCATGTTAATTCATAGTTTTGATGAGTCGGTGTGAATCTACAATTTTCATAGTCAAAAAAATGAAGAAAACTCTTTGAATGAGGTGTGTCCAAACGTTTGGTCTGTACTGTATATATGCATTTTTTTTTAACTGAGATATATGGGTTTAAGCAACATGCATTCATGAAAGGACTTCCACTTCAATCTCTGCCTTGAGATGACATATTGTGAATGGCGCTTTTATAAATGAGCTGAATTGAATTTATTGGCTTTCATTCCAGCTTATTGCGGTAAAATTGTTTTAAAGTAACACTTAATACCAATGTACTTTTTACTAGCTAGGTTTAAAAAATAAACTTGGGCAACTTTAGATTGTACATGTTTTTTTTTTTCTTTAACTCTTGTCTTGTTCTGTAGGCCAACTCCTGCTTTGCCCTGAAGGCCAGTGGCAGTGTGACGATGGACTTTGCATCTCTGCTGCGTGGAGGTGTGATGAAGAGGGAGACTGTCTGGATGGATCAGATGAAATGGGCTGTGATGGTATGGCGAAATGGTTTAAACTGCTGTTAGAGTTACTATCAAATCTTGCGTGACTTCTGCTTTGACTCTGTTGCCTTCAGCCTCCACAGACTCCGATTGTCCTCCTGGTCAGTTTCCATGTGTGGGATCTGTTGGCTGTGTGGATGCTTCAGCCCGCTGTGATGGACAGAATCAGTGCCCAACTGGTTCTGATGAGGAGAACTGCCCAGCCACAGAGGGCTGCCTGGATTCTGAGTGGATGTGTGGAAACCGCATATGTATCCCCAAGGAGCTGCGCTGCAATGGACAAAATGACTGCATTGATAACTCTGATGAAGGCGAATGTGGTGAGAAAACCTCAAGGATTAGTAGAGACTAAATCAGCCTGAGGGTCAATTTAGAAGTAGGTTGTAGCTCAGATTTCTAGGGCTATTTTTGACCAAGCAAATCAGTTATTTTTGCTAGAAAGGCTTTCTTTAATTTATTAGGCGATTCATGATATTTGGTGTCCATTAACTATGTTTATGAGCCTCGTTAAATAATCGATGCACAAAAAACATTACTTAAAATGGTCACCAATGAACTTGCATCACTCAAAGCTAACGAAGTGAATGTTTTAAGTCTCTAGAGCAATGCACATCTTCATGATCAATTTTAGGGGTACTAAGAAATGTACGGTAAATTTTAAATATTATGGCTGTCCATCTTCTACTAATGGAGGCTTTCAGGAGGCATTTCTTTTTCTGCCTTTTCATTAAGGTAAATGTAGTGAGGGTGGCATCCGCTGTCCTGAGGGAAAGTGTCTGTCAGCTGAGGAAAGGTGTGATGGACGGGTTCAATGTTCTGATGGCAGTGATGAGCCTATAACCTGCAGTGAGTCCAGCAACATAAGCTTAGGTTTGGTAAACAAGCATGTCTTTAATATGTAACTTTAGTGTTTCCTCTTCAGGTCGTACCTGCTCCATGTCCAATGGTGGCTGCAGCCATGTGTGCAAAGATGAATCCTGGGGAGTGCAATGCATTTGTCCAGTTGGGTATAAGCTCTCCCCCAATGGTGCCGTCTGTGAAGGTGAGGGGTCATAGTACTCTGTATACCATGAGTGATACTTCCTGTCTAAATGCTAAATATATTTGGTATTTATAGTGCTGGCTTATACATTATGCCCTTGAAGTTCTGTGGCTGCTTCCTAACAATTTACAAACCTGAATACAAACCTATAACTGATTTTTTTCATTTTTAGATTTTGATGAATGTGCAGCAGCTTTTCCTCCATGTGTTCATCACTGCACAAACACTATTGGATCCTACTTCTGCCACTGCAGAGAGGGGTTTGAACTCAGCGGAGACACTACATGTCAAGCTTCAAGTATGTTTACAAAACTGAAAGCGTTTTTCTACATTTCAGCTTATCTTTAGTGAAGAATAATATAACAGAGCAATATAACATATCTGAGCAAGTGGATACTATTGCAAAAAAAATATAAAATGCTCAGAAACAACTAAACCAAAAACCATAACTCATTTGCAGTTTTTCAACATTTTTCAGTTAATGCAACCCAACTGCTGATGGTACAGAGGAACACGTTAGGACTTCTGAATGTAAAATCCCTGCAGTTTAATGCAATCAAAGCTTCAGTGTTTGAGCCAGTGGCATCAGCCTATGACATTGCCAGAGGGTGGTACTACTGGGCCGATGGTGGCGGAAGTATTTACAAAACCAACGGGCGGAGCAGCTGGACATCGTTTACTGGTGGGGGGCATGCTCATTCTAAGTCTTATAATACCACTATGGCCACCATCGGGTTAATGATAAGGCTGCTCATTTGCAAAATGTTTGGGATTTCACAGGAAAACCTGGAATTAAGGGTTTAGCCTGTGATTGGCTAAATGGATACCTTTTCTGGACCAATCAGAAGACTGAGTCAATCTACATGCAGTCAAACGATGGTAAAAGTTTCACAACTTTACTGAACAAAAATGTCCGCCCATCAGAATTGGCTCTTCTTCCCATTGAGAGGTGAGTATAATTGTTTTATTTCCTTTTTTTCTTAACAGTCCCACTCCATTATATACAGTGAACATTACGAACATGCCTTAATCACACTATAATGCTTAAGCTATATATCTTTTCTCTTCAGCCTGATGTTCTGGATAAATGAAGGTCCAGGTGACAGAGTGACATTGGAGAAGTCCTGGATGGATGGATCAGACAGAAGCACTCTTACAGTCCTCACTGCACAGATTGCTCGCAGCCTTACAACTGATGTTGCTGCCAGGAGGCTCTATTGGATCAGTGACCTGAAGATGGTGGGTCCTGAATTAAAAACGGCACACATGAGCTGCTCATCATGTGTTTTCTGAGTGATTTTATTTTAATTTTTTTTCCCCATTTGCAGTGGAATAGCTAAACTACTGTTCACATTTCAACCTGGTTTCCTCCAAACATCCTATTGAAAATTATAAATTTACATACCATCATTCATAGGTTATTAAAACTGTGTTATCTTGACCTAACTCTTGTCCCTGAATAAAATGTTTCATATGGAAAATGTTATCTTGGATGGATAATGTATTTAAATATTCAACTCTGAACTGTTTGCTGTTTAAAGTAAAACTCACTCCTGAAATAATTTGTGAAGTTACACAAACTGCCAACTTAAACATTGCTAAAACTTAATCTTTTCAGTCTGTAGAGACGGTGAAGGTGGATGGGACGGGTCGCTACTCCTTTATCGGGCTATTTAACAAGAGACCAGCTTTGAGCCTCGCAGTCTTTGAAGGGATGTTCTTTTGGACCGATCAGAAGGGACTGTGGCAAGCTCCGCAAGGCCAACCAAATCCTCGGAAATTCCTCAGTAAAACTGACTTCCCTCTGCTGTCGGTCTACCATGAGCTCCAACAGCCAAAGGGTACTTTGTAGATTTAATTTTTGTGTTAATTTTGCTATTGAGAGAGAGAAAAAGAAACGGTGTTGCAATAAACAGATTTGAACTGGAGGAAAAAATTCTATCATGTTAATCAAATGTAGGGTCCTCAGCCTGTGCCAAGACTGTCTGCCTTCTCTGCCAACTGACTAAGAGCAACCCCAATGGATTCACCTGTGCATGTCCGTATTTTAAAATACTACTGCCTGATGGGACATGTGAATGTACGTTAACTGTGCAAAATGTACAAACTTGCATAAGACTTTTAAAGCTCCGGTTTTCCTGTTGGATGCTTTTCAGTAATTCTGCAGTTATTCGTTTTACAGATCCCCGGTTCTTGTATGGCACTATCAAAAAAATCAGCTTGCTGGAGTTTACAGCAAAAGAGTCCTCTGAAACGGAGCTGTTTTCTTCAGATGAAGGGATCCTGTCTTTTGATGTCGACTGGTACAGAGACTGGCTTTATTGGGCCAACAGCACTGGTCATGTCCAACGCACCAGTCTAAATCGAGACAGGACAGAGTTCATCCCAACACCTTTGCCAGGTTGGAGCAAAGCATTTTCAAATGTATATTTGACATTTAAATCGAACTACTCGTTGCTGCTCAGAAAAAAAAATAATTTTTTCAGAACCTATTTTATCAATTACCTGTTTACTACAAGCGTCCAGTTTAACTGAACCATCGCTATTAAAACTGTATTTCATTTAGTTTGTCTGCTGTCTGTGGACCAGAAGAGTGGCAACCTTTTCTGGGTGTCGTGTGACCAGAAAGTTATTGGTACAAGCGCATCCGGTAGTAATTACCCACAGCAGCTGTACCGCACCACAAAGAAGATTAGAAGCTTTTACTTGGACTGGCTGAGGGGTGAGATGTTCTGGCTGGAGGAGGGCTGGGTCTTTAGCATGTGGATGAGCGGAGAAAAGGCAAAAGAGCTGCTGCAGATGGCAGAAGACGTTGGTGGGAACATCGCCTTTGATCTGAGAGCTAGCAGCCTCCTGTGGAACTCTAAAAGAGCAGGTGTGTAACAGTGTTCAAATGTCCTCAGTGCTTAAAAAAAAAAAAAAAAAAAAAAACTTAATGCAGAGTTTTCCCTTGCAGGTTATGCTTTACCTTTAAAGGAAAATTGTAAAAATGTCTCTTTACATAGAGTTTTGAAAATTTTCTGGATATTGGTTTTGTTCCCAGGGTTTTAGTCATTAAGTGTTTGGATTAATTCAGTAGAACTTGATTTCTGAGATGCAAACAAGAATTGATGAACCATTTTATGTTCATGGTCATCCTGTTTAGGTTTGACGATTCTAAGTTTGTTGAAGGAGAAAAGCCACCAAGCTGGAAGAAGGTGGAACATCTCGGGCTCTGTTGTGGCTGCTTTCGAGCCTTTCCTCTTGTCCATTTCTAACAACATGGTGATTCTGTGGGATCAACGTAATGGACACCGACTTCAGTCTGTTTCTGTGAAAGGTCCCCTACTGAGTGTCATTGTAGCACTTGGAAAATTTCAAACAGGTCAGATTGTTCTATTTTTAAGCTTTTTATGTAGCATTTGCTGTTTCAGTTTAATCCTAGTGTCATTTTGTCCACATTTATCAAATAATTGTAAGACTCCACTGCTAAAAAAAAGCATATAATTTTAATATTGATTAGATGTCCGTTTGCTTCTGATTATATTTGGTAAAATCCAGTTAATCCTAATTCAAAATGCCAACTGGTAAAATGATCTGGTGAAGTCCAGCCTGTTGCAGCAAACCCAACCTGAGCATACACATTCTGACAGTGGAAATGAAGAAATTGGCCTTCATTAGGATCACAATTTCAAGCAGAACCAAGCCTCCTGATTGGCCATCTGCCTGTGGCTTGGATAAACTGGGATTATTCAGAAGTACTATAACAAAAGAAAGGAAACCTCACTGATGGCTGGAATAACTCTCTCTTTAGTGCTGGCCTGAAAGGATATGCAGCTAAAAAATCAGACAGGAGTGATGTATACTGAAATAACTGATGCGTAGCTGTAGAATGTGGAAAATGGTAACTTTTGATGAGCCTTGTGAGAGTGGATATTGGTAAACAAAGTTGGAAGATTTCATTGACCATTGATTCATTCTTGGGAGAAGTTCTGATCATTTTCTTTTTTTTCTCCTGTTCATAGTGCCCAGCACTCCAGTCTGCAATGCCCCATATTGGTTATGCAGACAGTCAACAGTCTGCCTTCCACCAAACCTTCTCTGTGATGGTAAGAGGGACTGCCCTGATGGAGATGACGAGGAGTTGTGTGTAAGCGCTTGTCCTAAGGGTAGGTACTGACTTTATCATCATAGCCAGCCCAGCTGTAATCTCAGGAAAGCCTGTGTTCACTAGTTTGCCAAACTTGTTTGGGAACACCTTTTATTTCAGAGGAATTCAAGTGTGAAGACAACAGAAACTGTATTCCCAGAAGCTTCTTGTGTGACGGCCGGGCCCACTGCCATGATGGCTCAGATGAGGTTGACTGCCCAACCGTGGTGGCTCCTCTATCGCAGACAAATGTCCTAAAGTGTCGCAGTGGCTCAATGCTGTGTCAAGATGGCACAGAGTGTGTTTTATACAGTCATGTCTGTGATGGAGAAGCCGACTGTACTGACAGCTCTGACGAACTGGGATGTGGTAAGTTGACTTATTTTCACAAAAGTATAAGGCATCTACTGTTAATGGTGATAACTTTGTCGTTTAAGATGCAACACAAGAACCTACAAGTTGGACAAAACCAAGTGGGAAGCTTCCTGTTACCACACCTCCTGCTCCGACTCTGCCAGCCTGCCTCAGCCCGTCTGTCCTCTGTCCTTCGTCCAATGCATATGTTTGCATTTCTCAGTCCCAGTTTTGTGACGGGCGTAAAGACTGTCCTAATGGCTTTGATGAAGAGAACTGCATAAAAAGTTGTCCATCAAAAAGTAGGAATAAAAAATTTTACGATGTTTAATTGCCCTCAAACACGTAATACCAACTGAATCTGTTTGTAGGTGATTTTCTCTGCAAAGACCATCGGAGCTGCGTTTCAAAGAGTTCAGTCTGTGACGGCCGCTCTCACTGCCTTGATGGTTCAGATGAAGTGGACTGTCCGAACTTGGTTCAAACTGCTGGTCAAAATGGGGTCAAATGTCGATTTGGGTCTAAACTTTGCAGCAATGGAGTAAGCTGTGTTCTCCTGAGCCATGTTTGTGATGGAGAGCAGGACTGTTTGGATGGATCCGATGAAGAAGGATGTGGTGAGCATTTATCATAAGATTTACATGAACCCATGAGTTGGATCAAATTGAAAGTATACATGTTTGCATTTTTCTCAAACCCACAAGAACTGCTGTCATCTAAAGTCCCCTGAAAAAAAGCAGTGTACCGCAAGGCCTACAACCCAGAAATCACTCCCAATGAGAAATTATTGAAATGAATCCCCTTAAGATTTACCATCCACCAATGTCAGGATTATGGTTGGCCTTCAGGAAAGGGGATAAACCAAAGGTATTACATTAGGGTTAGGTATTAAGGCCACTGATTTTGGGGTTGAGCCAAAACCTAACTGTAAAAAAAAAAAAAAAAAAAAAAAAAAAAAAAAAATGCTAACCTTAAAGAACTTAATACTGGTGTCAGAAAAGTAGGCCCCTTTTTTCCTGCTCCATCTTTGTCCATGTTTAATTTGACACCATACTTTAAGGTATGTTTGCGAGTAATGGCACTGAATTACTTTTTCATTACCAAAATATGCTGACTTTAACGTACTGGTAACGCTGATTGTTGCCTTCAGTCTGTTGCTTCAACTTGATCAGAAAAAGCAGCATTTCATTAGTGAACACTGCTTGCTGTGATTAATGAAAGAGTAGAGCAGGGGAGCAAAAATGGGCATTGGATGCCAGTTGACTGCAGAGTCAGGGTGCATTGAATGCTCGGGACGGACTGGGAGAAGAAACACAAGATGCTGGTGATGAACCCCATGGATTTGATGGGGTTCCTGAAAAGGATGTTAGTTTTCAGAAATGACTCTTGTTCAAAGTTTATTATGAAGTGTATTTTATTTTTGTTAACCAATTGATACCCATTTAGCCAATGGAAGCCTAATTTGCATAATGTTAAATATCAAGGACCCTCTGCTGTTTAAAGGTATTGCAATTAAGTCTTATCTGAAAGATGTTGTCCTAAATTTAGTCCAGGTAATGGGAAGGTTGTCTAATTTTCAGAGCACAGATATTCTCTTAATGGTTGCTTTATTAGGCAAAGTGATTTTTCTTTCAGACAAACTTTGATGGACTCAAAGTTGCTGCATTATATGTAACTTTTTAAATTGCCTCTTTTCTTGGGTTCATTCCTAGATACCCCAGGAATTACGGCCAGCCCGCCTTCATGTGCAAGCCCTTCAGTTCTCTGTCCAGGTTCTTCTATATGCATCAAACCCACCCAGATGTGTGATGGGAAGAGAGACTGCCCTGATGGATCTGATGAGAAATGTGTGAAAAGATGTTTCTCAGACAGTGAGTACCTTAAGGATCAGTAAAATGTTTTCAAGCTAATATAAAAATGCAATTAAACTTTAAAAAATTTTTTGCCCTCTAAAGCTGACTTCCGCTGCAAAGACCGTCGAAGCTGCATCCCAAAGAGCCAAGTGTGTGATGGGCGTTCTCAGTGTAACGATGGCTCAGATGAGCTTAACTGTCCAAGCACAGTGCCCACTGCTCCAAACAAGGTCCTGAAATGCCGTTATGGATCCAAACCCTGTCGAGATGATCAGAGATGCATTTTCCTGGAGCATTTTTGTGACGGAGAGAAGGACTGTCAGGATGGATCAGATGAAGAAGGATGTGGTATTTATCTAGGAAGCTTTATCTCTGTTAATGTAAAGAAGCAGACCTCAACTTTATTTATTTGTCCAACAGATACACAGAGTGGTGCTGTAAAAGATCATATGAAAGGATCCCCTGCACAAGCTAAAAGTGAAACTCTGCCTCCCACCAAGCCTCCATGCACCAGTCCTTCAGTCTTGTGTCCCAATTCGCTGATATGCATCAAACCAACAGAGATTTGTGATGGTAAAAGGGATTGTCCTGATGGGTTTGATGAAAAATGTCTGACAAGGTGTCCCTCTGACTGTAAGTGATTTACTTATTTACCATTTCTGTGCTACTGCTAAAGCAGAAGAGTTTTAAAGGGAGCTTCACACAAATCTAAAAACGTAATTGAAATTGTCCTCCAAAGCTGATTTCCTCTGCAAAGACCGTCGGAGTTGCATCCCAAACGGTCAAGTGTGTGATGGTCGCTCTCAGTGCAATGATGGCTCAGATGAGCGTAACTGTCAAAGTGCAGTGGCCACCAAAGCTCCAAGTAAAGTGCTGAAATGTCGCTATGGTTCACAGCCCTGTCAGGATGGCCTGAGGTGTGTCCTCTTGAATCATGTTTGTGATGGGGAAGAGGACTGTCTGGATGGTTCTGATGAAGAAGGATGTGGTATTTATCCAGGCACCTTCTCGAATTTAAATGTGGGAAATCATGGACTTGATTAAATCTAACTGCATTTTTGCTTTTTAAAAGATGAACAGAGTGGTACTGTCAAAAATGAAACTCCTGCACCCACCAAAGAAGTTACTCTGCCTCCCATCATACCTCCATGCACCAGCCCTTCAGTTCTGTGTCCAGATACTACTTTATGCATCAAACCAGCCCAGATGTGTGATGGAAAGAGGGACTGTCCTGATGGGTCTGATGAGAAATGTGTCAAAAGATGCTCATCTGATTGTAAGTTTACGTAAATTTTCCTCCTTTCACCGTTGCCCAAATGAATGGTAAATGTCCCCTGAATGTAGTCAAAGACACTTTGGAATCCATGGTCTTAAAATGCTATATATTAGTCATTCACAAGGGCACACATTTAGACACTGATTGCTAAGTGTCTTAAAGTCACAGCTGCTCTGGGGCACACTGACAGCAGTGATGCTACCATAAAGTGGCACTGCTGGACGCTCTAACCACCATCAGCAGGGTAGAAGAGTAAAGCATTTTCCCCAGGGACACAACGATAGAGATGGATGAAGCAGATCACTCTGGGCGGTATCCAAAATGTAATGTTGAAGTAGGCCAAAACATTAGAGGCCTTAGCCCAGGTGTGGGCAACTCCAGTTCGTGGGGGCCGATATCCTGGAGCTTTTAGATCTATCCTTAGTCCAACACACCTGAATCAATGGCTGTTACCGCCTTAGTATACAATCAGTTCCTCCAAAGTCCTCTCAATCATCTAATTACTTGATTCAGGAGTTCTGTACCAAACTCTCATCTAAAAGTTGCAGGATTCCAGCCCTCAGGAACTGGAACTATCCAGCCTTTCTTGGCCCCATGGTAAAAAAAAATGGGACGAAACAATGTTGAGGAAACTTGGTCTTAGCCTGAGTAAAATTACACACCATACAATTAAACGTACGATTTATTGTTCACCTAACTATGATGTGCCACCATCTGTTGTAACAATAATAATTCAGTTTGTAAGCCTGTAAGTCAAGTGAATTCTATTCTACCTTTCGAAGCTGACTTCCGCTGCAAAGACCGTCGAAGCTGCATCCCAAAGAGCCAAGTGTGTGATGGGCGTTCTCAGTGTAACGATGGCTCAGATGAGCTTAACTGTCTAAGCACGGTGCCCACTGCTGCTCCAAACAAGGTCCTAAAATGCCGTTATGGGTCCAAACCCTGTCTCGATGGTCAGAGGTGCATTTTCATGGAGCATTTTTGTGATGGAGAGAAGGACTGTCAGGATGGATCAGATGAAGAAGGATGTGGTATTTATCCAGGAATATTGCATTAATGTTTGGGATCATAAAGTTTTTTTTTTTATATATATATAACATGTTCAATTCCTGAGGAAATAAAAATCTTGATTTCACCTTGTACATTTTCTAGATGATGCAGAGTCTGATATGGAAAATGAGCTCTTAAGTAAATCTCCTGTGCATACTACAGTAATGCCCCGTCCCACCAAGCCTCCATGCACCAGCCCTTCAGTGCTGTGTCCAGGCTCATCTGTATGCATCCCACCAACAAAGATGTGTGATGGAAAGTGGGACTGTCCTGATGGCTATGATGAGAAATGCATTGAGCAATGTCCTTCTAAAAGTAGGATTTAAAAGATGTCATTTAAATAATTGATTTCCAGTATTAACTAATTGTATGCTTAAACATATAAGACAGAACTGTAGGCCTGCTCTTTCAATATAAATGGGCCAAAGGCAGTTATATTTTGACGTTTTTCCATAGGTGATTTCCGTTGCAGAGACCGTCGGCGCTGCATCCCGCAGAGCCAAGTGTGTGATGGACGTTCACAGTGCAACGATGGCTCGGATGAAGTCAACTGTCAAAACACAGTGATCCCTGAAGCTCCTGCTAAAGTCTTGAAATGCCGCTTTGGGTCCAAAATGTGTAGAGATGGAACATCATGTGTTCTCCTGAGTCATATTTGTGATGGGGAATCAGACTGTCAGGATGGATCAGATGAAGAAGAATGTGGTATTTATTCATAATCCAACTTTTACTTTCATTCACTCATTTTATTTGGCAAAATGTATCCAACTTTAATTACCTTTTTGACTTTACAGAGGTTGTACCTAGTGCTTCCCCAGACAATGGGAGCTTGAATCAGTCTCCCACTGAGACCCCATGCACCAGCCCTTCAGTTCTGTGCCCAGATACTACTTTATGCATCAAACCAACCCAGATGTGTGATGGAATAAGAGACTGTCCTGATGGATTTGATGAGAAATGTTTCAACACATGTCCCTCTGCCTGTAAGTAGTTTGTCTCCTTTTACAACTACTCAGAAAGATATTTCACCATAATAAACAAAGTTACTCAATATTTATGAGTTGATCCTATTTGAAAAATCCTGTTGGGTGGGGGCTGTAGCCAAAATGACAAAATTAATGAAAGAAGGAAAAAAGTGTTCAAACGGCAACACTGGAGTGCCAGGCCCGCCTTTAGGTTTTGAGGAATGTCCTGAAATGGTGGCCATGAATGCGTTCTGTATTGTAAAAGATTTGTTCCGACTTGTGGTCTAACTGTTCACACTTCGAGGGGAAAGAACTTGTTTTGCAGGGGCACACAAGCAGGTGTTAAGGTTTTTGTAATGGTACCATCAGGCTGTCTCTTTAATTGCCATGTCTTCTGCAGAACAATTATACCCCTTGAACTTATATTTTAAACTTATAATTGTTTAAAGTGCACACTACCCATGTACCAAGCCCTTAGTCCTCGACGCTGGGTTCGAATCCGGTCTGTTATTTCCCGCATGTCTCTCCCCCTTTCTCCTACTCCCTTTCCTGTCAGCCTACTGTCTATAAAAACAAGCCACTAGTGCTGTAAAAACTAGAAATAAATACATTTGAACTTTTAAAATGAATAATTATTGAATAACTGGATTTGCTTTTTGGGAAGAGTTCAAACTTGGCACCGAAGAACCTAGAGCCGGCCCTACCTAGGAGACGTGCACAAGTCATAAGGATGAAAGCTTGGCATGTGGCATAGGACCTTGTTTGTATAAATGGATGGGGCATTGTTAGTCAATCATGTTCTATGGACAATCACAGACATGTCTAAGACCTCTGTTTTAAATGAGATGTAAAATGGACATTCTTGCCAGCTGTTGCAGCAACCAGAAGAATTATTGCCCAAAAGTATTGATGGAGGCAATCTATCCAAACCTTGGGAACTTGAGGTTTTTTGTTTGTTTTTTGTTTTTTTCTTTTTAGCCTGAATAGCAGGTTAGCTGATGACCAAATACTACTTTGGTTGTAGATGCAGAAACTTTAATTCTGGATATAGTCGAAGAAACTTGAATCTTTTCTCTCCACAGCTGACTTCCGATGCAATGACCGTCGGGGCTGCATTCCTCAAAGCAAAGTCTGTGACGGACGTTCTCAGTGCATTGATGGCTCAGATGAGGCCAACTGTCCAAATGGAGAAATGGCTCCTAAACCTCTAGCAAAAGTCCTAAAATGTCGCTTTGGCTCAAGACCCTGTAAAGATGGGTTGAGATGTGTCCTACTGAATCACATTTGTGATGGAGAGGAAGACTGCCAGGATGGATCAGATGAAGCAGATTGTGGTGAGTATCTATCCATACTCTGGTTTTATGCTCCAAGAAACCAGGTTTCATGCAATTTATTTTTTTTTTTGCACGTCACACCATTCTATACAGGGACCAATTCCCCAATTCCTGTGAAAAATGAGTATATGAATGAATCTCCTGAACCCATCAAACTTAGTCCACCTACCACTACTCCACCATGCACCAGCCCTTCAGTTATGTGTCCAGGCTCATCAATTTGCATTAAGGCATCACAGATCTGTGATGGAAGAAGAAATTGTCCTGATGGTTCTGATGAAAATTGTGTAAAAAGATGTCCCTCCAGCTGTAAGTAGTTTGAATTCCCTTAAATCCTTAAAGCGGGTCTGAATATGAATTTTATTAAAACGGGTTTTTCTTTTTGTTAAAGCGGATTTCCGCTGCAAAGATCGCCGAAGCTGTGTCCCTAAAAGTCAAGTTTGTGATGGCCGCTCTCAGTGCAATGATGGCTCAGACGAAGTTAACTGTTGGGTAGTGGAGCCTCCAACTAAGACAAATACCCTAAAATGTAGCATGGGATCCAGAATGTGTCACGATGGAACTGAATGTGTCCTCTTCAGCCACGTCTGTGATGGGGAAAGAGACTGTACTGATGGATCAGATGAGGAAGGCTGTGGTGAGTCTGAACATATTTAGATGTCAGAAATGGTAGACTTTGTGTAATGTTGACATTGTGCAAAAAATGTTTTCCAGTTTTATTAAAACGGGCCGACTAAAATTCCAATTAAAATGGTCTCTTGTTTTTAAAGGAAGCTTTTAAAATTGTTTCCTGTCAAGAAAACTTTACAAGACTAAAATACATCAATAATCTAAAACTTTAATGCCTTGATCAATTAATGCATTGATTGATCACAGATGACATGTTGGGAATTGGCACTGTATAAATGAATTGAATTGATATCAGCCAGCCGAAACCTTTTGATTAAAGATGGTCTTTTTGTATACATTTTTAGATGCTGCAGAAAGTTCTAATGAATCGTCATCCCCCAACAAACCCTTCTGCAGTTTTCCTTCAGTTTTGTGTCCTGATTCCAATGTATGCATTAACCCGTCTCAGTTATGCGATGGTATTCGAGACTGCCCTGATGGATCTGATGAGAACTGTGTGAAACAGTGTGCGGACAAGAGTGAGTTAAGAATGATTTTTCATTTTGAAGCACTTTTTAAAGCAACTAATGCGGGAAAACTTCCTTTTGTAGCGGACTTTCTCTGCAAGGATCGCAGGAGCTGTGTCGCTAGGAGTTTGGTTTGTGATGGACGCTCTCACTGCTATGATGGCTCAGATGAGGCAGACTGTGCTAGTGTAACTGCAGTGCCATCAAAGCCAAATATCCTAAAATGTCGCATGGGCTCAAGGGCATGTAAGGATGGCAGTGAGTGTGTTTTATTCAGCCATATCTGTGATGGAGAGATGGACTGTATGGATGGATCTGATGAAGAAGGATGCAAAGAAACCTGCGAAGAAGGTTTGTCAGTTTTGTCAGAACAAACTTTGAATCCGATTCTACTTAATCACTTATGACTGTGCACAACTGTTAGGAGAGTTTCAGTGTGCCCATGGGAAGATGTGCATCCCGGAGACTGAGGTCTGCGATGGGAAGCCACAGTGTCGAGATCACTCAGACGAAGTGGACTGCTGGCACCAAACCAAGGGCTGCGAACACCTTTGTGCTGATGGCACACGATGCATCCCAAAGAAGTTTCTCTGTGATGGAGAGCCAGACTGCCCAGATGGAACAGATGAACTGAACTGCGGTAACTTTGTAGAGTTAAAATTCTACAAGATTAATGTTTTATAGGAATGTTTAATAACGGAAAATGACCTTTACAAGTCTGCCTTGGTTTCACCTGGTCTCTAACTTGGAAACTATACCAATTTGTTTTCGGTTTTTTTACTTGTTACCACAGACCCTGATCCAACAGATTCCCCCTATATTGCATCACCTTGCATCACTCCTTCAGTTCTGTGCCCGGGCTCATCTCTGTGCCTCTCTCCCTACCAACTGTGCGATGGGCAAAGGGATTGCCCTGATGGATTTGATGAGCAGGGGTGCATAGTTCAATGTGAAAATCCAGGCAAGTCCATTTTATAAAATACCTGCTGGTTCTGCAAATGGACCTGGTAATATAGGTCCATTTTTACAATTCACTGGTTCACTGACTTTTTCTTTTCTGAATTAGACGACTTCCTGTGCAGGGACCAGAGAAAGTGCATCCCAAAGACTCAAGTGTGCGATGGCCGTGCCCACTGTCCAGATGGTTCAGATGAGAAGCAGTGTCTATCAGAAATTACTCCCTCCTGTAAGAAAAACAAATAGTGAGCTGAAATATGCAGGACATTTTAAAGTTATTGTAAAAATAATAGACTTGATCGCTGTTAAAATGGAATCTAACCCCCTAAGATTTTTTTTTTCTTTTTTGTATAGAAAATGTTAAAAGCAACATTGTAAAACTAAAGCAGCTACTGGCACACCTATCACTGCTTTGTGTAACTGCCCTCTGATATAGGGTAAAATGTCTAACATTTAGCCTGATGGGGAAGAATAAGACAAAGGACTTGTCCTCTTTATGCAGTGTCTCTGTAGACCCACATCCTCTTATTTGCCCTTTCAGTTCACTTTACGGTCTTTAAAAAAAAATATATATGGTCAAAGGACTGAGATGTCCATGGGATGGTTTTTTTTTTTAACATGTTGTATGAAGCCAGAATTTTTGTGTAACAGGTCACTAAAATAATTTTTAACGCTTTGAAAATTTCCAAGGTTCCTCTTTGAATGAAAAGCAAGTAAAAGAAAAATGGATGCCTTACCACTGGGCATAAGTTGTTTTTTCAAAGATTTATCCTTTTTATTTATTTTTTAATTTTTTATTTATTTTTTGCCAGGGCCAGCTTAAGTGTTTGTTGCTTAAAAGATCAGCATGACTTTTTTTTTTCCCCTAAACCAGGTAAAAAATTAAAGCTTGATCTAATTAGACAAAGCAAAATGCTTTCCCAAAAGCCACAGTAAGGGTTTAACAAACTGCAAAATTTTCAGTGTGGGACAAAATTTTTTTTTTTTTGTAGTCTCATTTCTGAATAACTTGAATACATGAGTCCACACATTAAGATATTTCCTATAAGTATTGGTAGTGCCAACAAATCTTGTTTAAGCAATTGTTTAAAAAATTACCATTGACATCGACTATCTAAACTGGTCTTGTCACAAAATGATTCACTTATGTTTTGCACACCTTAATGAAAGTAAATCTTTACAAGACCCCTGCCCCAAATTACAAATTTGCAAATGACACTTCTAATATACATGTACTTTACCCTTTATAGCCTCTCATAAAGCACCAAACGCAAGACCAGAGCCTCTAAAGTGCCGTACAGGTTTCAAGCTGTGTAAAAACGGCCTGCAGTGCATCATGTACAGCCATGTTTGTGATGGTGAGCGGGACTGCCTGGATGGGTCTGATGAGGAGGAATGTGAAAAGCGATGCAAGCCAGGTTTGTTTTTAGTTTATAGGAATTTCCAACACTTAAAGTAGATTTTAATCCATGTTTAATTTTCTTTTTTATTCCAGGGCAGTTCCAGTGTTCCCATGGCAGTAAATGTATCCAACAAGAGCAGATATGTGACGGACAGAATGACTGTCAGGACCGTTCAGATGAAATCGACTGTTCAAAACCAAGTGAGAGCTGCGAACACCTCTGTGACAATAAGACCCGCTGCGTTCCAACTACCTTCCTTTGTGATGGGGAAAAAGACTGTGCTGATGGTTCAGATGAAGACAAATGTGGTGGGTGACGTTTAGCTACGATCTTTACTTGCTTCCTGCACAAAATTTAAACTCATTGGTTTACACCTTGTTGTAGGTTTGTCAGTCTGTGCATCTGGCCAGCATCGCTGTGAGAGCGGAGAGTGTATTTCTGAGGCTTTTAAATGTGATGGTTATCCTGACTGCCGTGACCATTCAGATGAGGTGGGCTGTGTTAAAGCCCCTCGTTGCCCTGCGCAGCTTCGGTGCCCACATAGCCATGAATGCCTGCAGAAAGAGTGGCTATGCGATGGAGAAGAAGACTGTAAAGATGGCTCGGATGAGAAGGTGAGGAGAATGCAATGGCTCTTTAGTGCAGAGAGAATATTTGGTAATTTTATTAATCTCTTTCTAGAACTGCAACAACCCTCCAATGAAATGCAGGAAGTACCAGTTTCAGTGTGAAGATGGCGATCTGTGTATTCCTCAGTCCTGGAGGTGTGATGGGAAGGAAGACTGCAACAATGGAATGGATGAAGATAAATGTGAGCATCAATGTTCTTAAAAAACAGATTCCACCTCATTGTTTAATCAAGTGATATTAAATGGAACTCCCTTGTGTTTGAAAGGAGATTGTATAATTGTAAAATCCCCTTAGCACCAATATCTTCAATTCCCCATGTCACTGGAGTACTTTTTTGTCTTTTGTTTTCCATCAATTCAGTTCCTTTAAGTTTTCAGATGTCTCTATACATAATAAGCAAAGTTTGCATTTTTTATGCAATTTCAGACTGTCAAAGAGCACTGCACAGAAAAAAAAAACAATTGAATAACTAGAAATATAATTACACACAATGAAATAAACATTCATCACAGCGGGTGAATTTAACGACTTTTCAAAAGGTTTGTCCTAAAAAGTTGATCGTAATACAGCTGAGTTTTGGACTTTAGAGGTTTATCAATACTTAATTTTTTCTTTTGGTACCAAGACCGCCTATATAAAACAAGCATTTCTTGCAAAATGAGCCAAAGTCACTTGTGCTATAAACTCATTGTGTTGAACTAAAACACAGCAGAACACATGTTTAAAAGGCTTTTCGTCCTAAGGATAACGTGGCTTTTTTTTTTTTTTTTTTGCATGTTGCCACACTAAACCTGCAACCTGTATTGTCTTTCTCGAGTATTTCTGCAATTCCTTCGGTGTAATCAAATTCTGAATTTTCTTTCAAAGGTACCCAAAGGAAATGCCCTTATCACCTTTACCAGTGTGGCAGCAAAGAGTGTCTTGACACCAGGCTTGTATGTAATGGCATCACCAACTGTGCTGATGGCTCAGATGAGGGCAGAGGATGTGCTCAAAAAAACTGCTCTAGTCCTTCAGCTCCTAGCTGTGATCACAGCTGTGTCAGCACCCCTAATGGAGCGGTCAGTAAATGACTAGTCTGGAATTCCAGTCCACTTTTTTGTTTTTTTTTAAATGATCAAAGCAGTAGCTCTAATGAACATTCTTGGTTATCTTTTGTCCTACATCAGAGATGTTACTGCGGTGCAGGTTTTAGGCTGCAGTCCAGCTCCAGGTCCTGTGTGGATGTAGATGAGTGCACTTCAACACCAGCTACTTCTTGTAAACACATCTGCCAGAATACCTGGGGATCCTACAACTGTGTATGCCACCCTGGCTTCTACCTTGAGCCAGATAAGAAAAGCTGCAAGACGAAAGGTACTGGAGTCGGATCATATATTTCAATCTGCCTATTGAGAAAGAATAGTTCCTTCTGTAATGGACACATAATGTCAGCGTGACTGGTTGCAGGAAAGTGCAGCTTTAAAATTTAAATTGAACCAAAGAGTTGCACTTTATAATACAATAGTTAGTGGTTTTTTGGTGGCAGGGGGTTTAAATGGATAAATTGTCCTTGCACAATATAATTGTTCAAATATCAATTGTATCCCTTTGGTGAAAATAAGCTACATTAGATGCTGCTCTTAAAATGTTTTAAGTTGAAAATTGTAATCTTTGAGGAGTTTATAACACATTTATTAATCAACAGGGAAATTAATAAAGTATTGTTGAAATTAATGGGGCTGTACAGTGGGTAGCACTGCTGCCTTGCAGCAAGAAGGTTCTGGGTTCGATTCGTGGCCTGGGGTCTTTTTGCATGGAGTTTGCATGTTCTCCCTGTGTGTGGGTTCACTCTGGGCAGAGGCGATTCTAGAGTCTGTGGGGGCCCCAAGCAAAAAATCCTAGGGGGCCTTACTGACAAGTGTTCATCACCATTATGTTAGGCTATAAATAATCTGACACCAATGAAAAATTTATTAAATAAAACCTTTTTTTTTATTCCAAATGTTCTAAACATGAACAACCTTGTTATTTTGGAAAATATAAAAGAATAAAACTAAAGAATAAACTAATAAATCAAAATAAATGTATAATAAAATAAAAAAAAACCCGTAAATTACTTTAAAAACCCAATATAAACTTTGTACAAAATATAAAGTAGTTATAGTAAGTGTAGTGAAATGATTGGGGTCCTATACTGCTTCCAGAATTGCTGCTTACGGGCCTTGGCTTGTGCAAATGCAGACATAAGTCCTCCAGATCCAAAGACNTCTGGCTTCCTCCCACAGTCCAAAAACATGACTGTTAAGTTAACTGGCTTCTCTAAATCCTCCTTAGGTGCGAGTATGTGCATGAAAGGGTTTTTTTTTTTTTTTTTTTTTTTGTCTGTTGACCTGCGATGGACTGGATGTTGAAACTTAATTTTTAAACATTTATATCTGTTTCTCTGTACATACTCTACCATTGGCCTAATTTGATATTTTCTGTATTCCTGCAATAGCATAAAACTTTTTTTTTTTTTCCCTTGTAAGCTAGTAAACTTCTCAATTTCTGTAGATGAGCCTCTGCTTTTGGCATCAGTGCAGTCTGAGATGTTAATCCTTGGAGTCCAGAGCGGTGAGCTGCAGCTTCTCTCCTCTGCTGTTCGACCAGTCTTCACTCTGGATTACCACTGGGCACAGCAGAAAGTCTACTGGCTGAGCCCTGATCATCAGAGCATCCGCTGGGCTGACATGAAAACTAAAAACAAAGGGACTTTGACCAAAGGTAGGTTCCATAGAAGCCTTTTTTTTCCTTTTTAGCTGAAAATGTAAATTTGATTAACTTTTTTTTAAATATATATATCCCAAATTCTAAAGGAGTGAAGTCTGACTCGATTGCAGTGGACTGGGTTGGTAAGAATCTGTACTGGATAGACGGACTGGTTGGGCAGATTTTGGCAATGAATCTCAGCAGCTCCACAGTGAAATCACAGGACTATACTGTAGTTCTTGGTGAAAACCTGGAGCAGCCAAGCTCACTAGTCCTGATACCAGACAGGGGGTAAGATGTTTTTCAGATCTGCCAGTTTGGTAAAGATTTTGCTGAAAGCAAATGTTTCTGAACGGTTTAATTTCCTTTTAGGTTGATGCTGTGGTCTGAGATTGGCAGCATCCCTCAGATCGAGAGTTCTGGGATGGACGGTTCACAAAGGAAAGTGCTGGTGAGCCAGGACTTGAGCTGGCCAGTCAGTCTGGCCTATGACTTCCTGGACAGCAGGGTTTACTGGGCTGATGAGAAGCTGCGCTGCATAGGTTCAGCCTCGCTGGAGGGGGAAGACATAAAGGTAGGTGGTGACATTTTTCTTTTTTGTTTGGCAAATCATTCAGTAATCAACAAAAAATTTGAGGCCTTCAAAGAGGATCTGCTACGGAGGATTACTAATTAGCTGAGCCCTAAAGTAGTTTGAGCTTCATTAGGGCTCTAATATAGAAAATAAATTATAGTCATGTATTCTATTAACATGCTCTGCCTCTTTTTTTTTTTTCCTCAAATCATTAACAAGCGAAGGTTAACATGAGAGGCCTTCAAAAAAACTATTGTTTTGAGACTGAGATGCATATTAGTGTTGCATTATGTAATTTTAAATTTCCAGAGGTTAGGAATGCTAAAAAGAGAAAGGAGAGCAAGAGGTGAACTTTTGAGCAGGCAATTAAATCACAATGAAAACCTTAAATGGCTGTTCACCAACTACCGTACACAAAATCTAAGGCCAGTTTTTTTTTAAAAAGGAAAAAAAAAAACATTCAATATTGTCAATCAAGTATTTGCACTGGCAGGACCTCCAGATGGTAAAAGCTCAGACCTTGGTAGGACTGAACTGCATGAGCAAACTTTATATTGAACCGTTGCTGCTGGGTTGCTGTCATAATGCCTGGTGTTTTCCTTCAGTGAAACAAAAGTTCCTGTTTTGCTGTGGCAATGAAAGGCAGCATTTTACCCTAATCTAATCCCCATTTAGTGAATTGGATTGATGGAAAGTGACATTTAAAAGGATGGAAAATGGTAACAGACGGTGGCCCACCTGAAAACAAATTCAATGCTTTGAGCTTTGTTCCCACTAGCCTCCTGAAAACGCTTTCCTTAAGCATGCCTGAATGACAGTAATTGATAGCTTCAGACATTTTTTTATTTTTAGATTGACACTTTATCTGTTATTTAGATGACATTGGGGATTTGTGACTTTTGTTTTTAAATCTTTGATGCAGCTTTTGAACAATATCTCAGTTGCATTTTTTTTATTACCTTAAATGCTTTTGCCTTAAGCTCCCATTTAGCACTGCAAAGCCATATATGTAATGTTGTTGGGATCCAATGGTGCAAAATGCCAATTCTTGCAATTTCATAATTAATCTTAAGATTTGAATCCACATAATTTGTTCTAGAAATGCTGTTTATTCCATTGGTGGTCCTTTTCTACTAGATCCTGCAGTTGACTGAGACTCCGAGCCCTTTTTCTGTGGTGGTTTTCAATGACCGTGTGTTCTGGTCTGATACCAAGAGAAGAACAGTTCGTTCAGCTGACAAGAAGACTGGCAAGGATCAAAGGGTTCTTCTTAAGAGACCTGGGCAGCCATTTGGACTGAAAGTATTTTTCTTTTTTTTTTTTTTCTTGGCTACATTTGTAAGATGATCATAAGGTTAATGTTTGCAATGTTGCTTTTTACAAAACTGATGCTTTCTTTTTAGCTTATGCATGCCCTCTCCCAGCCAGCTGTTTCAAGCCCCTGTGATCGGCTCCGCTGCTCCAGTCTCTGCCTTTTGACTCCCTCAGTAGGAAAATCCAGCAGTAGAACAGCTGTAAATGCTGCAGTTTGTCGCTGTCCGAAGGGGCTGCTGCTTTCTCAGGACGGAATCACTTGCACTCTACCAAAAGAGTCATCTTTTGTCCTGCTTCTGTCCCGTAACAAAATGTTTCAGGTAAATCAAGTCAGACAAAATGTGCTCTTGAATTTTATTTATCAACCTTTAGTAAAAAATACTCCTTTACGCATCTAGATATATCTGCGCTCTATGAGACGTGATGGAATCGCTCTTAAAAAAATGCCGAATGGAAGAGATTTTAATCTCCCAGGACCAGCCGAGGCCCTGAATCTGGACGTTTCCATCCCAGATCTGTCAGTGTTTGTTTCTTATTTAAGACATGGATCTGTGGACGTGCTAAAATTCAGCAATTCAAAGTCAAAACCAGAGCTGTTACTTGCTGGGCAAATCCTAAAGTTACAGGTATGTTTTAACTTTATTTTTTTAGGAAATGTCTTTTTGTATTTAAGCCTTGACAATCAAACTGCAGTTTGTGATTTAATTATTGGAGCAGCTTAGTGGTCAAACTTTTATTTTTACATTCAAGGATGATTCAATAACTGCTTTGGCAGTTGACTGGGTGACTTCCAACCTTTACTGGAGCAGCCTGGAGAGACCAGATATACACGTGACTTCACGTCTTGATGACCACACCACATCTCTGCAGCAAGGACCTCTAATTGTAAAGTTAAATTTTTTTGATAGCTCAACAATAAAATCTGCAGTTATCTTTGCACTGCTGAGTCTTGGCTTTTTAAATGTTTCATGCAATACCTTCAATAATAAAAATGCACAACTTTAATTGGCTCACTTGTCATGCTGATATTGGAATTTTGCTTTTAGGGAGTTTCCTCCATCACCGTCCATCCTTCCTCAGGCAGGCTCTGCTATTCTGCTATAGTAATAATGGGGTCAAAGAGCCAGACTGAGATCCATTGTGCATGGATGGACGGCCGTTACAAAGTAGTGCTGTGGAGGAAGTCGAGCATCCCCATCTCAATGACCTTTGCCAATGATGGAACCAGAATCTATTGGGGGGACACAGGTAGGCAGTTGGAACTTTTTTAGTAATTTACCTGCCTTTGTTTCTATATTGGGTAAGACTCTTATTTTTCTCAGGTGAAGGAGTAATAGGATCTATTGGAGTGGATGGATCGAACTACAAGGAATACAAAACGGGGCCCCAGCTGCTCGTGTCTTTTACACGTATTGAGACCCTTTTCGTTTGGGTCACTCAGAACAAAGGTAAGAAACATGGCTTTTCTTTCATACAGAGCTAGATGCTGTACTTAAATGTTAGAGTAGCTAAATCTTTGACACCATCTGTTAATGGTTAATCTGGTAAAATCATGTATACACCTGTAATGTTTCAACTCAAGCAGCAGATGGCATCACAGAGTAAACATAGAAATTCTTATTAGTTAAAACAATTTGTTCAAGTATGCTGTTCAACTTTTTTCTGGTACTGCAGTTAGTGATTTCTCATTGTCTTACCTGTTCAGATGTCAGTAAATTGTGGTTCAGTGATGGACTTCAGCCTAAACAGTTGTGGTTTGAGTCAAAGACCAGGATAACGGAAATCCGATCTTACAATAATGAAACCCAGGCTGGTGAGTATTATTGCATTTGTATAACTTTGTTCTTTTTTTCATCAGCGCTTGTAAATCTAGTCACAAATTTATTTTTGCTCCTCTAAAGTTTAATTACTGAACAGTTCAGCACAAGGAAACTGGAATGTCTAATCGGTTATAAAATGACTAATTGAATGAGATGCTTTAACACTTTAGTATAAAACGATTAAACAAACAGAACATTGCCACCTTATTGTTTTTCCCTACATCAGAATCTGATGTATCCGCTGATCACTTTGAATATCATAAAATTAATTTTAACAAGTTTTAAACTGCATTGACTTTTGCCTGCAGCTTTCTAGACCTCATCAGAGCATTAGAGTTTGACTCTAGAGGCAAAATTAATACACTGGAGATCAAAGAGCCTTAGCTGCAGCAAAATTCTAATTTTATTTTGCACATGTAGCTATCCCACACCAAAATTAAAATATATTTTCCATCCATATGTAGTAATTTTAATCACTAACATCAAAAGTCAAATTAGGAATTTGACTATTTAAGATGTGGACTGAGGATATTAAACAGATCACCCTTCTGTTTATTTACTACAAGTGGAGCCTTGGTTTATGTATATAATATAAACTTAATTATTGCATCATAAAAGGATCATCACTAGCTGTATAAACCAATAAATGATCAAGTAGGTTTAGGTTAATATCAGGCTCTCGCTATGTCGACCTGCAATAAGTGGCTGTTGCCAAATTTGTTTTATAAATTCTGTTTGTTCAGCTAAGACCATGTTCTGCAGAAACGCTTGCATCGAACTCTTGGGGAGACGGGGGCGAACAGGAAATGGCTTCATTTTGTGCTATATCAAACAAGATGGTAGCCTAAAACTTTAAGATGGCTAATTACTAAGGAGAGCTCTTGTTCATGTCCTAAAATACAAGTCACCAATTAGCTTAATTTAAAACTAAAGTTACTAGATCTCTTGACGGGTTATTTACATCTAAGAAGGGTAAGGATAAAACACCCTTGTTGTTGAACAGCAGAAACTGAGCCTTCCATAAGTTTATTGCAGTTAGATGACAATGAGTACTGAAAAAGCTAAAGGCCCCTGAAGGAGCCTTCAGTTAAGCCCTGATGCCAAAAGAGCTTCCACTATAACTGAACGGTGACTGGAACCATGTGGGATTGAGGGTGGCAGCTTTGACATGAAATGGGAGCGTCATACTTTTTTTTTTGCCTTAATATCAACGTTTTCATTTTCAGTGTTAGACTTTGGAAATTTGCACACCAAAAAGCTTGACTTTTCTTTTTTTTTTTTTTTTTTTTACAAAGCCAAATTAGTCATTCAATTAAAAATGACAATTTAATCACAAAGTGCACAATGGAACAATAAAACATATCAGATCTACTTATGACAAACATCCAAAATGGCCAGAGGGCTGCTGTTTATCTCGGCAGGCAGTGCTAAGCCAAAGTTCCCTAGAAGAATGCATTAGTGAAATGGCTTGGGGCTTTAGACGAGCCTTGGAACTAATAAAGAAACGGATGAAGCCTGATTATCTGAAGGGGTGTTCACTGGAAAGCAAAGGGCAAATTTGTTTTTGTACCAAATGACTGGAAGAGGATCGTATGTTTGACCAATTTTAAGTTTAGGTTGTTTTATATGCCAATAAAACAAAGGCTCGTACTGCCTTTGTGCATATTTCATATAGAATTGATTGTCTGCTAAAACTTCAGGAGATGGGAGGGATGGATGTGCTGTAGTAAAAGCTTGGGCTTATTACAACAGCTTCTCCACATACTGTGCTGCCCTATGAATCTGTTTGCTTTTGCTCTTGTCAAATTGTCATTTTGTCATAGAAGTGACAGAATAATTGTCCTAGCTTTGTAATGCCAACAAGCAATGCTGCTGCATATTTTTAGCATTGATCTACGTAGAACAAGCAGCAGGACCAGTCTGTTAGTCACAACATGGGAATTTATACCAGCTGCATGCTCAGGTTTTCACAGAATTTCTGAATAGCACTGAACATTGGGTGTGTTACTGGACACTGCGACTGGGGTGAAAAGGCTTATGTGGCTTCAGTTTATACTGAATAGATGAAGTGATGTGATACCTCTAGGGGCTTGAACTGGGAGAACTGTCTTTTTGCACTAGTTGGTGAAAGGTGGTGAAAACATAACAAACCAAATGCTCAAACTGTACTGACTCTTGTCTATAATGCAGGCTTGTAAGCTGTATGTTTATGTTTAAGCTTTATCAAAAGTTGTAGTTTTCTGATAACTGCTCAAAGGCCTGCAATCTAAAAGTTGGAAAGGCCAGGCTGTGGAAGCATGAAAGCTGACACCCATGCTTCAACAAATATTTGTACACAATTGACAAAGACTTGTGTGATACACCTTTAACTGCAGCCTCACTGTAAATAAAACCCTACAATGTCCATTTCCTCCAGGAAACAACCTTTGCTCAAATGGGAACGGTGGATGTGTCCACCTCTGCCTGCCCTATCCAGGAGGACGGACTTGTAAGTGTGCACGGGGCTTCTATGTTGTCAACGACACTTCCTGCGTCCCTCTTCCTTCCTGCCCCAATGGAAAGGAATCCTGCCTTGATGGCAGCAAATGCATTAAGAGCAACAAGTTCTGTGATGGGAGCATTGATTGTCCAGACCAGTCTGATGAACGGAACTGTGAGTTTTTGACCAAAATGACCTAAAACTTCAGGTTTGTAAGGGAAGAAAGTCCTTTTAACCAATAAACTTGGGTAAAATGAAACTTTTAAGATGACTATTTGACCTTAAGGGCCATCAAGAGAAGATCGTGCTGATAAAATGACCCTATGCAATGTAGCCCTTTGTACAAAAATCACTAAATTGATCTTAATGCTGACCACCTTAAAGCAGTTTGAGACATGAGCTAAAGACTTAAACATCAGCACTATCCAGAGATTTTAAAAACCAGTCAGACAAGCCTATGCTTTATTGGTCACATTGGCAAATGGCCTAAGACAAAACCAAATTCTGGCAGAATTAGGATAGATGTTTTCACTCTAGTTTGAGCAACATTTTTACTCTATGCTAGCTCTCTGTCCTCTACAACTTTACATTGGTGAAGAATGCAGTGGTGAACAGAAGCATTTTTATTTTTAAATGGGAATATCAAACTCTTGACTGTGAAAATTACAGTGCAAAGATTTAAGGGAAGATGCAGTTAAATAAACCTCCCAAGTCAGTTTGGACTATAAATGCATGGCTAACCACTACTTTGTACAATTTGCTTTTAGATTCATATTTTCATTAACCAGTTTACTTGATTCACACGTGTACCTTTAGGTCCAGGTTCTGACTCGGCCTCATCAGGGACCAAAGGTGGTGGTGGCCAATCTCTGCAGTCTTCCTCTCACCAACCCGACACGCAGAAGAACTCTGTTCTGCCTAATAAAGACTTGGCATCGTGTGATCTCCAGCGCTGCAATGGCCATGGCAGTTGCATCACAAAGGGGGAAACCACTCGCTGCCATTGTCTGCCGGGTTATAAGGGAGAATTCTGTCAGGATACAAAAAGAGAGAGCCACCCGGCAGTCATTCTGGTGTCCTTCTGTCTGGTCTCTGCGGTAGTATTTGGTGCATTTGTCTTCACCAAAAGGTAATGTATGGATGGCATTTGTTCAGCATTTGCAATCAGTCACAGTAACGCCACTTTATAGTGTCATTTTTTTATCGTACAATTTTATTCAAAGCCCCATGTTAAATTATTTTGTTACATTTCAAAGATTCTGACTGTTTGTTTTACAGGAGAGGATGGGAGTACTTCAGAAGCAGATCTTCAGATAAAGAGAAGCTAATGGCCAACATGGCTCTTTCTGGCGAACAAGAATCTGACTCGGAGGTAAAACTAATGCATGGCATATCCTGACCGATTCTGCTGCATTCCTAAAGGTTTTCCTTTAAGCAATTTCTGAAATTAGCCTTGTTTGTTTTTATCTTTTGCAGGAGTTGGAGTCCTCTGTTGATGTGACAAACCCCCTACAATCATTTAAGTGAAACTGCAATTAAAACAACTATTGATTTGTTATGAAATATGTATGCAATAAATGTCTTATCAAAGCAAAGTGTTTGATTTATAGCAGTGTCTTTCAAAGTGGAGGGCACAGCGGGAATGGGAAAGTTGTATGGAAAATAAAAGTATGAACAAGTAGAATCTAGTTTTAGAGTTACATTTTCTGATCATTATGAAATATAAATAAAATGACAAACCCAGGAGATTTGTTTCCTCAATCTAATAGAGGACCACCATACTTTGGCTGACAGAGTACTGGAACTCCTTTTCCAACCACCTGCTTTGAGTCTGGCTTTTTTCCACTTTCTTCTAAAACATGTGGAACTTGTTCACATAACACTGCACTATGGGCCTTCAGCCCAGCCCTTCTATATATAAGAGCTTTTTTCTTTTTTTTTTAGCGTTTTCTTTCAGGGGGAAAGTGTTAACCATCTTATGCTCCAAAAATTGTAATCACTGAATCGAGATAAATATTCTAATACTGATTAAAGTATAAATGACAGCTTTTGTTGCATTGTATATTTTATTGTAATACGGGTCGCCTGACAGAAGCCAATATTTCAGGGCCATAATATTTGAGGATGTCTGATTAAGTAGAGAAATCTGCCCTCATGCAGTTCTTTTAAATCAGGGTTGTTCAAGTCCAGTACTCAGAGCTACATCCTGCAACTCTTAGGGACATATTTTCTCTAACACACATACATCTAAAGGCTGAATCATTTGATTCGGTGTTAAAAATGGGTTGAATCAAAAAGTTGCCGGATAGTTGCTGTTAAGGACCGGACTTGAACACCCCTTCTTTAAATGGACTGTTTGACCAGGGCCAAGTGTTTAAATGGCCTCATAACTTTTTACTGAAAATTCTATTTTTTTTTTTTTAAAGCTACAGTGTGTAATAATTACAGGGATATGCAGTCAGAAATGTAATATATTATACATAACTATGTTATTTATCATCTACGAGCTCAGCCTCTTAACCTTAATATTTGCGTTGCCTTAGGGTCTCGCAGCCATGGAGGCAGACATCTTTGCGCTACGGCAGCGCAGAGCCAACAAACTAGCGATTGCGAGATCGCCCATTACGCTCGAAAGTAACTACTGCAAATTGAGAGAGATGAACTGAGACGGTACTGAACAATAGATGGTAGTATTATGCCTGAGAATACTATCTGTAAAATTATCTATGTAAACAAACCTCATCACTTGAGAAGGTAGGTGATGCGGACGTCGTGGAAGACATTTTGTCCCGTAACGTTCGCCGTACTGGTGGGGGGGAGATGTTCATGTTGCAGTCTGCGGTCTGCAGTCTGGACGTTAGATGTCGCTAAAAATTACACACTGTAGCTTTAAAGGTGTCCTGTCTGGCAATGTGGCAATAAGAATAATTGTCTTGATGCCAAAAATAGCCCAACAGATTTTACTTTCACAAGTGTAGCTGTATGGCAATTGCCAAATTGCTCCACTTGTTTCATGCATATAAATTGCTGTATTATAATTGTGCAGGGAGTTTTACAGTTTATATGGACACTGCAATGTAAATAGAGCAGAAAAATGGAAGAAAAGAAAAAAATAGAGAAATGAAAGAAGAGATGGGAGTCAATGACAAAACATTTTCAGTCTGCTTCATCACCTGTAACGAGATGAAAAAAAGAACAGCACAACCAAAAGACATACACGAGACAGACACGAGAAATACAATAAATCAACACCTTGAAACTATCGCTAAAGTAATGTCTGACATGTACTCTGTTACCTGAAGATATGAATGTGGGGTTTCTTTATGGAAGTGAATCTCTGAGTACCTGGAGCCACCGAGTCCAGTGCCGGGAGACCCAAAGCCCCAGGCGCCCAAAGGGACCCCAAGAGCGAAGGCACCAAGGAGGGGCCAGCCCCGGAAATCAGACCCCCACCAAGGGAGGATGAGAGACGGCCCCGAAGAAGCCACCCAGCCACCGCCATGCCGGCGCCCCGGGGACGAGTCCGAGGGCTCCGCCAGCAGCCGGCCACCCTGAAGTAGGGCCGGGCAACTTAATATTCTGCGACTAAACTATTCAGTTGATTAACAATCTCCAGCTGTTGCTTGGATAACCTTATGAATCTCATTTCCTCTAATTACTTTTCAGTACTTGTTTACTGATGTAAAAGGTTCAAACTGATGCAAAGTTTGTCTTAGACATTTAATCTGATCTCTAAAAGTTGTTTGTCACCTCTCTGAAAATTTGGCTGAAAGCCCTTGTTTCTGTGCTGCCCTCATAAGCACCAGTTTTAAGAAGCCTGTTACAAATATTTCATAAGTGACATTTTAATTCCTTTTTCGGTATAAAATAATACAGATATTTCCCATTAGTGGAGTTCAGTCACACAAAGATTAGATTTAAATAAAAGATGTGAGGTTTTCACAAATTACTACTTTGTTCATTTTGTTTTTGATTGTGGTTTTCCAACTATAACCGTTTCAAAACACTTGTGTATTGTGTTGACCATGTTTAATGCAGTGTAAATACTGTACACTATGCAGTGTTTGCACTTTACACGTGATTGTAACGTTTATTGGACCTATGTAGTGGTGCCTGAAGGTAACCCGACTCAGCTGAGGGGATAAGGTAGCCAAAACGCTTTAATAACACCAGGCAGTTTTTCTGCATTACTGTGGTTATCCCATATTCTTGAAGCTAATATTATTAAAGCAGGTATTTGTAGTTTGGGTATTCATGTTTTTTGTTGACACATGGAGGGGCTCGAGGTTCCATGGTCCGTTTGACTAAGCAGGGTTAACAAACTCTTATTCTAATCCGCAGCTCCAAATGAATCTAGCCTAAGGTTGGGAACTTTTTTTCAGATATCAGAAATACATATTCGATAAAAATAGTACATATAAAAATGGCTTGTTACTGTAATAATATGGGATTGTTTCTTGAATGCAGCAGGTGAAGATGAAGCATAAAAACATAATAGATGGAACCTCATCTTCTCATGGGGTTTTTCAGTTTGATGTCTTTTATGTTACTATGGTGACTAAACTAACTTCTGTTTCATTCTTTGTGAAACAGAAAACTCAGTTTCCCATATTTCAGGTTTAGAAAACTTAGAGTTTTCAGTAAACCTGCTTCGTGAAACAGACCCCTGGTGGTCGACTGCTTTCCTCTGATTGGGGATCAAGACAAAAAAATGACGTATCAAACTGGGGACTTCTCACTAGACCTTAAACAATTTGCAGTGTCCATCTATGATTCCACCACAGATTCTGGCAGTGGCTGATTCTGAATTAAGGAAATTGCAGCACCTACGTCCTTTTCCTTTACATTTTGCACAGCCAATTTGCTGTGCAAAAATGCTACTGCAGGTAGAAAAAGGATCTTTGGACAGAGATCAGCCTTGAGCAGGATTCAGAACCGGGACTACAGCCTTCGAAAGAACTACAAAAAATTTGTACAAATATATGAAGATCTATATCATAAAACTCAAAACATGTTGTACACATGTGAGCAACTGTATTTTTGTTCAACTTCATGAAGGCGGCTGTGTCTATACGTCCAGTAATGCAACAGATAGTGGGTAACCATATTACTTCTATGCTAAATGAACCACATATCAGAAGCTTCCTTTATATCAGCACTTATCTCTGTTTTGGCCTTAGTATCCTTTCCAAGTTGCCAGGCTGAAATTAAGCCAAATAAATTTGCTAAATATATTTTCTCTGAAAAGAGAACTTTAGACAGCTTCACAAAATCCCAGACCCGCTCGTCAAAACTCTTGTAAGGATTTGAATGATCTGATTAGATCCTCATTATTCCTGCTTTAAGTTTATTGGTCTCTATGAGGCTATTTCCTAAACGTAAACTTTCCTGTGTTTCAGCATATTGAACATATGTAAATACATTGATGAACATGGAAATAAGAGCTAAAATTGAGAAAAGACCTGGTAAACAAATGTTTTGTGTTAGAGACTTTCAGTCTGGCACCTTAAAAAGAAAAGGATGCTTATTCCATGAACGAGGAACACTCTGCAGGAAGCGGCTCTTATCAAGATCACATTTGATTGAGGAGTCTGTAGGCAAAAACCACCAGTGGACTGAAGGGCACTGCAGCGGGCAATGCATGGAAAACAATTATCTAAGATAGGTGCAATTGTTGCACTGCTGAGTAAGACTGAACTTGTATTCACTTTGTGCTTTATGCTAACATTTGTCTCACTCAGCAGATTTAGGGGAATGTATGTAAATGAATAAAGCAGTGCAAAAAGATATAACAAAAATATTTCTTTATATAATTACAGCTCTGTGCAATCTCCTGCATTTATAATTCATTAGGTGAGGTGGCAGGGATTTTGTAATAACTTATCGGACATAAAATAACTTTATTTTTCAAAGTAACATTTACAAGAATAACATTAATTTTATGCAAAGGCTAATGTAACAAAAATATGTGTTTGCAACTCAGTTTGAAACGTAGCATTTAATGTTCCTGAGGTTTGCTAGGCCTGTTACAAACATCTGTGCTCAGGATCATGCATTGTGTCATACATGATCCGCTCCAGGCTTCACCTCATGCTAGAGCCTGTTCAAGCAAATGTCTGGCCTAATGCATGTTCAGTATCCTGAGGTATGCATTCAGTCATGCAGGTTAATACATTAGTTTTCAGATGTGGATTGCTCCAAAGTCTTTTCAACTTAGCTTTAGCTACAACAAAATTACTTTGGCGAAATACATTTCTTTGACATAACTAAAGAAAGGATGTTTTCATGTTTAAATCAGCCTTAGAAAGTTTGATAGCAGTTAGCACACTGGTTAGCCTATTTTCATCAAATTCCAGCTTAAACCTTAATCATCTTTGAATTGTGTCTCTAAAATTATAGACTCATATCAATGCTGTTATTAAGCTTAGATCCTAATGGTATTTATCAGCATGTTGGCTGATAATCTCTCAGCCCCTGAACCAGATCTACCTGTTCCAGGTAAGGAGTGACCGATGCCTGACAGTTGTTACTTAAGCTGGCTGGAGAAATGGCCAGTTTTACATTTAGCCTTTTTAAGGTGCTTTTTCTGTGATCTTTCTTTTATTCCAGAGCTGAGTTACAGTGGCTTTGCTCTTTGGTATGGTAAAGCTTCGATGGGTGTTGACTCTGTTTACTCTTAGTTCTCATCTTCAGATTATTTGCAAATAAAAGTAAATACAGTGAATAAGGTTTGTACCTGAAGATTTATCTCAAAATTAAATTTTATATGGCTGCCTTACTACAGAAAATACTTATTTTGATCAATATTAACATGTTGATAATTTACCATGGTTACTGATTGACTTCAAAAGCCAGAAGCCAAAAACAGAGAGTTTAGGGACTTTTTTTTTTTTTAAATCAAATATCTTGACAGGCCTGATTTTCTTTTTGTAAAAAGGATATAGTGTGCTAACAAAAAGACACTGTCATTTTATTCTAATATGATTATCTTCTTACTTCTATAATTATTACCACCAAAGTGAATGAAAATCTAGTTAATTGGTCCTATGTCTCCAGTGACAACTACTACTATAGACAAGCCAAAGGCTGCAAGGCAGTTTGTGAACATGTTCTTTATTATCGTTGATAAACTAAAGCTACCTTCTGCATTTACCTTTGTGAAATGGTACAGAAAACAAAAGGAAGCTCTTTTTATGGGGGGAATTTGGCATCATTCTAATAGTAATAATACATAAAACTGCATAATTGACTTAAAGGTATAGTGGATGATCAAAATAATCCTGAATTGTCAATCAAGATACCGCATGTTTACGTAAGGCTGTCCTACGTGCTCGTCCCAATTTTCACTTACTGGTGGTGAGACTGACATAGTGGAAAAATAGCTAATTTTCTTTTGAAAAGTAAGCTTGTATGAGCGATGCAAACAGCAACTTTTAAAAAGAGCGTGCACGAGGAAAAATGTAATGCTCTTGCACACATTTAACAGGCGCTTCCTCTCAGGCGTGAGTATAGGGTTGTGCTTTTTTTTTTAAGTGGAGCGGGCTGGTCTTTTAAAAATTTGCAAAATTCCACAATACTGTACCTTTAAGCTTTTCAAAACTCTGCGGGGATAGGGAAATTAGGACTCGCTGCATGAAAAACTGTTATGTTTATTACTAATGTGACGTTTTTTTCTTTAGCTACTCCCAACACTCATTAGCTCTCTACTTGCTGAATCGTTTAGCACTGAATCAAAATCATTACATGGATTTAAAACGTGACTCATGTTTGTTTTAGGCGACTTTTGAACTTTCTGTTACAGCTAACCATGCTGCACTGCTATTGTGAGTTGGAGGTTTGATTAGGTCAGATTTTATGTTTTCTTCTATTATAATGCTTTATTTAAAACAAACTTGTTAAAATGAATACAATACTTACTCTTCCAACAAGTCATGTGATCACTGACATACATGTTACATCCATGTCCATTGTCTAAAAGTGTTTAACTAGAGTTTGTTTAGATGTGGAACCAGTTTAGTTCCTTGGTTTTAATCATTCATTCCTTTTTTTTACTGTCTGCAGCAGAAGTGTCAATAATACTTTTAAACACATCTCCTCAACAAGAGAAAAAAAGCTGTAGCCAAGGTTGGGATCAGATACAAACCAGTAAGCAGGTCACAGAATTATCATGAGGGATCCATGTTTCCACTCAATAGACGTTATAAAATCTTTTTTATTTTTTTATTTTACCAGTTTAAGAACCTCTTCTCATTTACAAACCTGTCTGGTCCAAAAGGCTTTTAAGACTTGCAAACACACAAAAGATAAGCACGATAAAAACAAGGTAGAAGAAGCAATTCATTTAACAAGAGATTAAATAATGAATGGGTAAATATAAGAGGTTGCTTGATTTTTTTAAGGAATTACTTTATGTTAATAGGTAGCTGTGTTCAGAAGTCCTTTACACTGTATAGTTATAATTCAGCTGTATTGTTCTGTAATAATTTTTTTTTTTTTTAAAGCTTAATACAAATTATACTGAAAGGTTGTGGGACTCTTTGTAAATGAATAATGTAATAGCATCAATGTGTTGGTGAAAAGCTTTTTGATTTCTGTCTTTTATTCTACTTAAATACTTCAAAAGAAATTCAGATTAAATCTAAACTTGTTTATTTAAAGCAAGAAAAGCTAACAAAACCAGACTTTCATATTTGGGTAATTCAGACTAACTGGCTACTATGCTTTAGATCATCGTCCTGCATAACAAAATTTTCCCAGCAGAGCAGGATTTAAGTGTCTATTGATGACAGCAAGTCCTCCAGGTCCTAAAACAGGAAAACAGCCACATAACATCACATAACCACAATGTTTGACTGCCTCAAATGTCTTTTAGGTTTTATTTGTTTTTTATTTTCATTTTTAGATCAAGAGAGATGATATGTCACTTCTGGAAATGTTTAAACCAACCTTTATGCTGCCAAACAGGTTCTGTTTAGTCGGTTTCTTAATTCCACTGTAATCAGACCTGGGAATGGCTCACAGAGGAATCTGGCTCTAGACAACAATCCTCTTAGTTATTTTTGATTAAACAAGCAGGTGTAACTTTTTAACTTGGTGTCGGTTTGGTCTGAATGCCTTTCCTTCCCCCAAAAAACACATTTATGCTAAAATGTAGTTTTTTTAATTTAGTCAAGTTTTATTTTAGTGTAAAAACTGCTGGGTGAAGCACAGACCTCTGAGACGCATTGCCACCATAACTCTTATGTAATGACTGAGATTTGTGCTGGCTAATTTGTGTTTGGTATCAGTCGGAGCAACAGGAAAAGCTCAGCAACATGTGTGTAACTATTAACTCAGCTTTTCAAGGTGTATGGATAGGTTTATGCCATGATATGAACAGGGATATGTGGTTTAGAGCTTTGCAGTGTGAAAGGATCACATACGGTTAATTTGATTTTGCAGCCCAGGCTGGTTTGCATAAGGGCTTTTTTAGATTGTGTAACTCTCTTGTGTGTTTGTACACAGTCATGTCCGTTTTGTCATGTCTTGCAAAGTGAGTCTTGCTCTGACTTGCCTGCTCCTCCCATGCCAAAACTATCTGACACACCTAGAGTCGCTGCTCAGTTCAGGATAGGAGCTTTTCAGTGAGTATGAAACTCTTCTATCTGTCCTTAGGAGTAGTGAAAGGATTTCTGGTTTGATGTGAAGCATTTTGAAGGTTGTATCAATACATGAGACTTACTTCTTTAGATGCTTCAGAATGTTTGTGGGATCAGGATGACTCAATATTCGAGCTCAACACACCATGAGGTGGTTTTTACCTTGTGAAATGCCATGTTACTACATCCATGTTAGAGGATATTTCAGTGGGAAGGTCTGTGTGTGAATTAGTTCATGTGAAAATAAGAGAGGGAGGAGGGGCTTTTTGTTGCTTGTTTGTGAAGGGAAAAAAACAGGTTCATATTGACAGGAATTGGTTTCTTCCTCTGTTCTCCACCCACTATTTTCTCCCCAGGTGATCCAACTGAAAGGGGAACTTGAAAGATCCAGAATCTTTAGCACAACAGAAAGCTGGACAAGCAGACAGGATAAACTAACATTACCCCTGTTTGAAGACAAGAAGTTTCTTCATTTTCTGTGAGTTTTTTTCTGTCTGTCTTTTTACATGTTGGAATATTTTCTTTTTATTTTAAGGCTTCTCTGAAAACATGATGATTTACAATTAATTTATTCTGCTTGATTTTATGAAAAAGATATTGCTACTCGTTGCGCAAACTGCCAACTCAAAGTGATGGTAGATCTTTTAAACCATAGACTGAAAGATTAAAACAGTCGGTCAGAATGGTCTATTTCTCTAATACGACCTCAACCTTAAAGCATAAGATTTTATAAAAATCCTATGCTTTTGCTTTTATATCAGTGCAATCAGATATATGATATTATACAGCAAAATAAAACAAGAATACTTAAATTCTTTCAGATTTTTATCTCTTTAAATAAATTCAAATAATACAGCCGGCTGTCTGGTTGGTACAACTTTTTCAATCATTTGTTAAAGTAAAATAAAAGTTTAAAATGTGTAAGAGCAGGGCTCCATATTGCCAATTTGGCTGAATTAACCTTTCAAAATAAGAGTCTATGGTACACCTCTGCTGTTTATTAAGTTAAAGAAAAAAATTGCTTGAAAATCAATGTTATTTAGATCCATTTTGAACTAAAATTAACTATTTTGCACAAGTGATATCATGACAATAACGTTTTCAGAACCTGATAAGTAGCATATTAAAGGTGGTTGATAAATACTCTGAAGATGGCAAATTGTGATGAATAAAAGGCAGATAAAAGAGATTTGAGCAAAGCCTTCCCCTAGACAGGGTAGATGCAGCAAATTAGGCTAAGAGTTAGGCTCCATGGTATGTCTGGTCTAACCACTCAATCTTAACCTGTTTTATGAGTTTACTTTTGTTTTGTTTTTGGTGTTTTTTGACCAAATTCTTTATCAAAACTTTCTTTTTTAGCATGTTTATCACTTTTTCCACATTGAAACGTGTCATTTCAAACCAAATCTACTCGAATTTTTTTTAACTGTCCAACTTTTTTGCATTAAAAGGAGAACTTGCATAACCCCCCCTCAAGATATCCATTTCAGCTCCTGTCTTTGTCATGCCTGTTTATTGTCTTTTAGGGTGTGTCCAAACTGTCCATTCATTTTCCTTTCCTATTTCTATCCCTCTTTGTAAAAGTCTAGTTCCTTTTGGACTCCTTTTCTCCTACCATGAAAACTAGTGCTCCAGTTGGAAGAGGCATCGACCCCAGCCTGCCGACCTGTGCTGAGATCAACTGTCACAGCCATGGGCAGTGTGTGGACCCCCCAGGGGGGGGCACTAAAATAGTGTGTGATTGTCATCTGGGCTATGATGGGGAATTCTGCGAGAAAACAGTGAACGGGGATCTGAGCGTGCCGCTGACCGTGAGCATAATTGCCGTTATCCTTGGGCTGTTGATCCTTGCTTTCATCGTCGCTAAGCTGCGGCAGAGACAGAAGAAGAACAGGAGGTAGTTTGAGAAACTTTATGATGTAACTGAATGAATAAATCTGGGTTTTAGAATAGCTTTGATTTTTTTTTAACTTAATGATAAGAAATATTCATTGATGTTTGTTTTTTATACTTTTTTGTGTTTTTTATTTATTACATTGTTGTTAAAATTTCCCATCTAACCCATTAATTGACATTTCATATTATTTTCACTTAGAATTTGAGCTTTTGTGGATAAATATTTAGTTTTTTCAGTAGAGTTGATTCCTGTAGTCTACCCTTGTATGTTATTTATAGTTTTGCAATCAGAGGAACTTTTTAGCTTCATGTTTCATATCTAAGAAACGCCCTTCATGTTTTTCTTATAATGGGGATGTGTTTCCATCTAGTCAGTACAACATCACATATTAGTGGGAAAAGAGATTGAATTCAGTCTCACAATGTTGTTTTTTTCTGCTTTGTCAACAGAAAGCAGCTGGCTGCACAACACGGCTACAACATATCAGTTTAATGTGGATGAATATCAAATATAAGGTAAGCAAGTTAATCATGATGTTTGCCAGGATGTATGTTTTCATTTTGTATGAATGATTATTAGTAAGATAAATTATCCACCAGTAGAGTAATCAAATGGGTCTTGCATTGTACAAAGGTGCTATGAAATATTAAAAATACTTTCATCATGTGTCACCAGAACGTATTGAAACAAACTTAAATTATAAACTGCTCATTTTTCCAAATATAAATCAAAAAATAAATAAATTTTTTTCAGTTTTGTTTGGAGAGTTAACCCCTAAATTGTCATATTCATGCTAAAAAAAAACTCACAAAAATAAATATATAATTGAACTGAAATATGAACTGGTGAAATAGTACTAGAAAGTTGATGAAAACAAATCTAAAATCCATTCATCCATCCATTTTCCATCAAGCGTATCCCAGCTGGGGTCGCGAGGAGAGCTGGTGCCTATCTCCAGCTGTCAATGGATGAGAAGCAGAGTAAACCCTGGAAAGGTCACACAGAGATAAACAGGACAAATAACCATTCACGCACACACTCACACCTAAGGAGAATTTAGAGAAGCCAATAAACCTAACAGTCATGTTTTTGGATTGTGGGAGGAAGCCGGAGTACCCGGAGAGAACCCACACATGCACAGGGAGAACATCCAGACTCCTTCCCAGGCCATGAATCGAACCCCAGAACCTTCTTGCTGTAAGGGAGGAGCACTACCCAATGTACAACCCCAAATCTAAAATCTTACAATTTAAATCATAAAGAAAAATAATATTTTGAAAGAAAACTAAGTGTTTTTCTTAATGGTCAGAAAAGAAAATACGACAAAATGGGGCTACAACAAAAAAAAAGCCAAATAAATAGTGAAAACCTTACAAATTGTTAATAAAAACATAAAAGTGAAAAAAATAAATGACAAACACCCCAACACATACCACATTTTTTGAAAGAAACAAACTTGGATAGCTACATTCTATAATAGAAATGAAGCTCCAACTTAAATAAATTGATTCAATTGCTAGCAAGTCATTGAATTCAGTTTTTCCTGCTTAATTTATTATTTTTATAAGTTTATAAATTAAGCTGGAACAACCTAATTTATTAGCCAGTTGAAGATTGTAAGAAATAGATTTTATTAATCATTTCAATTAAGTTATTACTGCATCTCTGTCCCAATTTTTACTCATCAAAATATTCCATCATAGTCAACCATTGCATTAACTTTATCAGAGCTGAACCATTCAGTAATTTCCCTTTTACTGTAACTGTCCCTTTTTCTTATCGCATATGTTTCTACATTTGTAATTTAATCTGGATCCTGTTTGTTTGTTTTTTCAGCTCCTAACCATTAAACCAATTCATTGAAAACATATTAATCTAATATATCTTGTTCATATCCAGGTAAACATCTTGGATCATCCCACCCTTATGCTCCTGGCTGTTTGAGTATTTCCATTGCAAAAGCAAAACTAATCTACTCTTTTATACATGATTATATGAGAGACACAATTAATTTACTGCAGCACCTTTAACCTTGCACCCGTTTGCTATACCAGCTGACTGTCTCCACACAGCCTGCCCTCAGCAGAACAAATGAAGTCTGCATCCAAACATGGCCCTGTCACAGTCTTGCCATACAAATGAACATTATCTTCTCATTTCATCTTTTTCTTTCATCTAAAAAAGTTCCGCACAATAACGAAAAGGTTTGCCCACTTTTTATGATGAAGCAGGAGGACACACCTGAGGCATTGGTATCAAGAGCGTCATGTATTAAACTAAAGTTACTGAGGATTTTTTTTTTTATCACAAAGGATTTTTTTTTTTTTTTCAACAAGATATAATGCTACATTATTATTTTTGCACTATGTAGTTATCATCATTTTGTGTCTACTAGCCTGTTTTTATGATGTTTAATCTAAATAAGGAATAATGTATTAAATGATGTGGCTTACACAAAGTATTTTATTCTATACAACTATATTTTACGGGCTTTTTTATTGGTAGAAAACTCTGGATAAGCCGTCCCACCCGTGATGCTGTCATTATTCTTTATCAGTTTAAGCGAGTCAAAAGTGACATTGTTTGGTCAGAAATCAGTCCATGGAAAGTTATCAACTTATACAAAGCTAATAAAGTCTGAGGGTTTTTTTATTAGTGCAAATGTTTTTTTTTGCACAACTGACTGACATTGTTATAACACGTAATACTCATATCCCCCCAACCCTCACATCGCTAGACTGTATGGCCGTGTCAACCGTTATGTTTATAATTTTATTTAATGTGTTTTACTCTTTAGAAGTATTTTTTTGTTTTGTTTTGTTTTGTTTTTTTTTTGGGGGGGGGGGTTCTTACTCTGGGTTGTGGACTGTTTATTTGCTCAGTGTCACACCTGAATGTTAAATCTTAATTTTTTTTCTTATCTGATTCAAAATTCATTACTTATCCAGCATAATGTCACAATTTTGGATTCTCCATGGTAAAATCGTTTGCTGCTGCATGAAAAGCTTATTTATTATTCATAAAATTTTGATTGAACCTTTAACAATGTTTGAAGATGGAAAATATCCAACTCTGAACCATCTCCTTGGGAGGTATTCTCAGAAGAGAACCTTAATTTCTTCAAACTGAGGTCTAGTGTTTGTAAGCTACTGGCTGCTCACAACCTCTCTGCAGAGCCCCTTTGCTAAAGATCCAGACTAGACCTTTTAACTAGTTATATAATTTAAAGATTGCACCTGTAGATAAATTCAGTCCTTTTTTCTTTTTATCCTAATCTCATTGTGTAGCTTGAAATGTTCATGTAACCACCGCTGCTGAGCATATGTCACCCTGTCATTTCTTTATTGGAACTTTGTTTCAAAGTTGTTATTTTTTTACTGTCATCCATGTATGAATCATTGAATAAACCATTTAAGTGCTTTTTTATGTAGTAATTTCATGGATTTCTTTAACAGAACAGCTGTTTTTATCCTCTGATTAAATGTGGGTTTACTCTTTTTATCCAATGTATGAATTCTGACATGTTAGAAGCCTTGATTTAATTAACATATGTTGATACAAATATGGCTAAAAAACGAATGTATACATGTGATTTTGGAAGATGACAATGTATGAAAATAAATCCTAAAGGCATATATGAATAGAATATATGAAGAGAAAAAAGATCTTAATGATTTCAAAGATGAGAAAATATTTTGTGGTGTGATTAGAAAAAAGTAAATCCTGTTCAAATGTCTCAGTAATATAACAGCTTTTTAAATAAAATAAACATGGTGGGTGAAGTGCGATGACTTGAGGCTGCATGTCTGCTCTAGGATCCCGATAATGAATTATGCTTTGTTTTAAGTCTTTGAGTTATCGCTACAAAAAAGATAAAAAGTAGAAGAAATCGATATAGAATATATATATTTTTTAAACATTACAAATATCTGGCACCGACATGAAATAACTTTGCAGAATGTGAGTGTTAGCAGCATTAACAGGCATGTTGAGAACATGCTGAACAATTTCAGATGTTAGATGCCGCCTGCTGACCTGATCTTATCAAACTCGACTTTCTGCTTGATTTGACAGATATGGCTCACTACTTAGGTTGTTATTCATTAAAGGGAGGTACGAGTACTCAAAAAAAAAAAAAAAAGTTGTTTATCTTTGGTGTTTGAGCCTCTTGCTGCTACTCAGTCCACTTCCTTTGTATTTGTTCTTCCACACTTTACTCAGCATGCTTTCTGTTAAGTTTGTTTGTCTTCTGCTTGTCACTAGCTCTTCTGGCATGGAAAGCTCTACCTAGTTACAGCTTGGAGGCATTCGAATCTGCTGGAACATGCATTGAAACCTGAATGGTTCATCAAGGTAAATATCTGGTTTCTGAACGGGATTCTAGCTCAAACAAGGAATCCTGCAGCCAAACAGTAAACGGGTAAACAGTAAAAGTTAACTGGGCCATTGATCATAACTGTGTTAGCCATTACCATTAAGTTGGAGTTTCTTGACTGGATAGAAGATTATAAAGTACAATTTTGAATCCAGAATGTTGAGGACAAATTTAAAGGTGCTTCATCATGTGTTTTTATCATGAAATAATGCCTTTAGAATATGCTGGTTATGATTCTCAGTCATCCAGGTCACAGTCTTTTCAAAAAAGTAAAAAAACAATCCACTAGATGTTTTTCTCCAAGTTTGAAGACATTTAGCTTCCCATCCAGGACGTTTTTTTAAATTCTTTTCCTTTTTTTTTTTATTAAAAAAGCTTCCTGGATAGGACTTCTTCAAACTTGAAAAAAGGGCCAGTGGATTCTTTTTTTTTTTTAATTTTTTTTACTTTTTTGGAATACCAAGAAGTACATGAGTATTAATTTGTTATGGAATACAATTTTTCTCCATCTCCTAATAAAAACACTTAGCTAAAAGAGAAGCTTCCTCTCCCCTCTTAGTGAGGGAGAGGAAGATACTCTTCAACCGTTTTTTTTAGGTCAGGTAGCGGCTGCTGCTCAGACAGCAAAATACCCTTTTGTGCATGATTAAAAAGAAGAAATTGCATTACTAACAGTTAAAAGCTCAAAAAGTCACAATTTCCTCATATAAGCCATTTAATATTGTCTGGATCCCAACTATTTTCTCCGTGTTTTGTTTCTGTTTCTTTTTTGAAGAACCTCACTAGCTATACTGTGATTGTAGGCATGTGCAGTTGGTGACAAAATAAATTTTTCCTACAGTAGCCTCCAGCAGGTCTTACACTATCCTGCTTTAAAGCCTAGCTTTTGCTCAGCAAAGATTTCTAGAGTAACAACACTTCTCATGGAGGGGATAAACCAATTCTTGGAATGGCGACAGCTGCTAAGGGGAGCTGCCTGTGAACACAGATTAATAAAACAGCGGAGCTGTTCTGAAGTTAAGTGAAATCTTAAAAAGCTGGGCATATATTTACAAATCCATTTTCTTACCTAAAATGTTACCCTAACTTGACTAATCCACTTTATGGAACAGGATTAGCAATGAAGGGAACACCGGTCCCAACCTTCAAAACAAAGAAAAGAAGGATGCGTCTAACAGCCACATTTGAAGGGGCTTTCTAAATTGGAGAGCCTTCGTTATATGAAGGTAATTCAGTCAGCACTCAAATTCAACCTTGGAAGGATGCTTCCCCTTTATTTGGATACACTCCTTGTTTTCATTCCTGCAAAGTTGATGCTCAGGTAAAGAACAGAAGGGTTTTAGAAATTCCATCCATCCATCCATTTTCTGACACGTTTAATACCAAGTGGGGTCGCGAGGGGTGCTGGTGCCTATCTCCAGCTGTCAACGAGCGAGAGGCGGAGCACACCCTGGACAGGTTGTCAGTCCATCGCAGGGCAATACAGAGACAAACAACCATTAATGCACACACTCACACCTAAGGAGACTTTAGAGAAGCACAGTCGTGTTTTTGGACTGTGGGAGGAAGCCGGAGTACCCTGAGAGAACCCTGGCATGCTCAGGGAGAACATGCCAACTCCATGCAGAAAGACTCCAGGCCGGGAATCTAACCTGGAACCTTCTTGCTGCTGGGCAGCAGTGCCACCCACTGCATCACTGACCATATCAAAATTGTAGGTTTGATATGAAGTTTCATATAAAAATAAATATGCTTAATCATATTAGATTATATGTGGAGTAAAATGAAAATTCCTTTTGATTCAGTTCAAGTTTATGATCTATGATTGTAGCTTAATTTCTTGAAGAACCAGGAACTTTCAGTCTTAGCAAGGTCGACTGCATCTTGCACAGATACTCCACTATACTGCTGGATGTTTCATTGTGGCTTGTAAATTGAAACGGGTCTTTCTTTTTTGTAATCCAGCTGCTCTCGCTCTTTCACATTCCCTTCATGCAAATCTTCTCCTCTCTACCACATAATGCAAATCCAGTCCTGCTCTCTGTGGTAAAGCGACAGTAGCAGTCACCACACTGGGCCTCTGTGTCATGAAAACCAGAATGTTTTAACTGTTGGTTTGGAAAATGTGGAAAAAGCTTAAAGATCAATTTTAACATATTTTTCTTTTTTAAAACATCATTGGAATGAAAAAGAGTGCCTCTGGAGACAAAGATGTCTGCCGCCTTCCACATGGACTTGTTATGACTCGACCTCGGATAACCAGAAGGCAA